CAGAGATGCACAACGGTTGCCTGATTTTTTTCTATAATTATTCTCTGACAATCTGCAAAACCGTATATTTTGTTTCGGCCTTAGGCAATAATATAAGCGTTACAATCCAATTGTTTTGTCGTCTAGCGTTATGCGCAGGTCGTGATAGCTTGCTCCCTAAAACAAAGTAGCAAAACCATCAAGTGATCCCCTCGGAGGAGCCGAGAAGTGTAACATGCGAAATCTATCAAGCTTTCTTAGAACCCCAATTCGCCCGTAACGAATCATGCAACACAAGGGGAAACCCAAAGGGACTTTTTAGTTGCAACGACTCGGAATGGTAGGGTTTTTTTAGCAGGTACAAATGTATTAGGCACTGGAATATCTACTAGACGAGGTGTCCATCGAGTCCCATAATATTCACTTGGCCCAACCCCCCAAGCTGCGCCCAATACTATCCAAATACGGGCAACTCAAGTTTCACCTGATGGCCCTGCGGGTGTCTTCTATGGCACCTGCCACTCGGCTTCAGCGAGCATGTCCATGCTAATGAACTCAAAGAATACGCCTACTTTGTTAGTAGAAAGTAATCGCGCATAATCGTGGTGCACTGTATTGTACATCGTATATTGTTTGTAGGGCGTACTTTTGAGATACTCCCTTTGCATGTCACAAAATTTAACACCAGGTTTTCGTTTTTGCGGAACTGTGTCCACTTAATGGCCCATTCTCCCGTGGCGAAGGCTTGCGAAATACGTGCGCGCATTACGCCTACACAATTCGTCCGAATTCACTGCGAACGGTGCGCAGCCGGTGTACAATACTCAGATTCTGGGGGGTTTCCTATCGGATGTGTTCGACCGTTCTTCTGGGTACATAATCAACTCCCGAGTCCGGAGCGCTCGTTTCCCAGATGTTCCCCAAGCTCCTATCATCTGGGAAACGAACGCTTTTCTTGTTCCTACTCCCAACCACCCTTCAACTCTGTCAAACTACAGTGCAGCGAGCAGGTTTGTGAATGAATTCCGAAATTTGGGGTGGTTCAGAAGGCTGAAGGACCCGCAGCCAGCGGATATATTATACATTGGGACTGATTATTCGTCAATTCGCCTCTGAGTACAAAACAACGGGGTGCCAAATTTTTGCACATTTAGGCTGAATTATCGCACCAACACAACTGCTCCTGGCCGTACTTACGTCAACATTGGGTGATATATACCGGGGTTTGGAGCTCACGGAGGCTCCAAACCCAGTATATTATTACCCAGAATATACGGGGATTGTTGCTCCAACCCCCGTACATTCTGGCTATTTGGTTTGCCAATGGGGTAGAAGCCTTCCCCAAGTGGGATATCGACAACTCCCCGACTTCTGTCGTAGGTTTAAAGCGGTGCACTGCATTTTGAGAAAGGTATAGGAGATTTACTGTACGGTATCTAAACATCATCTTCGTCGACTTTCACATCACACACGCTCTAGGTGCAAAGTTTTGGTTGGGTTTTAAGATCAGATGCCATTCAAAGCTCTTCGATGGGGTAGCCTGCGAAACGCCTTGATTGTGTGTGTGTGGAATGGCATATGGTTCACTGTGGGAGGGGAGGAAGCCCTTCGATTTCTGTAGCGAGTAGGAACATTTCTTTTGGGAACAATGAAACAGTAGCGGTTTTTTTTTCTTCTTCTTTCACGGAACTGTATAGCTACACACGAGGTCCTACCCTTTGCCTGCAATTTGTGTCTGGTAGAGATGGCACTTAGCGAGGGACGGGCAGGTTTGTCTCGTCATGGCATGAACGTTCAGGCTTTCGGTGAGATTATTCAGGTGGATTCTTCTGTTGTGGCTTTTGTACTTTAGCCGGTGTACTCTGACCAGAATCCTCCAAAAGGAGCAGATCTGCTGGAAAATTCCACGTAGACCCTGCTCTGAGTGGTGGGAAATTCCAAAACTCATGATAGCTCCGCCTAGCTGGAGCGCTTGACGTCACACTTCTGTACAATCGTCAATCCGATGTGGAATTACCGCATTCGCTGGCGTTCGAGCAAAATGAAGGAACACCGTCCGTCAGGGCTGCGGTGGAATGAGCGGCCCCACGGCAACCCATGCAGGCGTGTCCCGTCAGCTCGGTCGCGCTGCGTGGAGGAATTGACGTTCCACATTCGATGCCGCTCTCTCACGCTCAAGCAGAGGCTGGCAGCACTTTCAAATTGCTGCTCCGCCCATTTTCCCGTTTCTCCACTCTCTCTCGGGGCTGCATTGCCCACATCTCCATCATATACTCTACAGCTCAACTTCAGCCCGATTGTGGAAGTTGACTGATAGGGTAGAAGCTCCCGTCGGGTGTTCCACTTTCGTGCATCCCGGAGGAGTTCCGTTACCATATTTCTCCAGCTCATAAAATTTCTGGACCGAATGCCTGCTGCGCACTTCGACATGGCGATATTATCAAGCAGTCCCTCCCGCTGTGCAACAACGCCGTTCGACACTCTACCCGTATTTTTCCGCGCCCACGCCACCCGTTCCTCAGTCTGCCCTCGCTCGATGAGCGAGCGGGATGCTGGCAGCAGTGAATTCCTGACGTGTGCATCCAACGAGGCTTCAGTTTCTCCCGTCCCAGCCGCTCCACGCTCCTTCATTCTCCCACTCTCCATTCTCCCGCTCTCCATTCTCCCGCTCTCCATTTCCCCGCCCTCCCGGCCGCCAGGACGAGCTGCTTTCGGCGATTTTCGCGAAAGTCGTCGCGACTTCCACGAGCCCCGCGTGCATATCGCTCCTTCGCTCGACGTACGACCCTCCGTCCCATGGCTCGTTTCCCACGCTCCCCGCTTTGGCTTTTTCCGCGCGGCCAGGTTCAAGCGGAATGATCGGTAGTGCGAATTTAGTAACACTACATCGTTGTGCTTCACGCAATTTGAAATCACCCATCACCCATAACCCGTCACCCATCACCCATATTCGCAACCTCCTGCAGCTCCCGACGCTTCTACCACCTCATGGCGGATCCAACGGTGCTGCGGTCCGTGGCTCCGCGCGCCTTGCTTCCGCACCCTGCCGCGTGGGCATCCAAAACGCCATCCACATCAACCCCCCCCTCCTCCTCACCATCGCCATCGTCGCCATCGCCATCAATGTCAACACCTGCCGGCCGCTCTGCCAGTCGCTTCATGCTCTTGTGCGGACTGGCGGGGAACGTTGACGCTCTCTTTCTGCTCGGCATGGTGAGTTGCTGCTGCCCACGGACCACCATGTTGCACCCTTACTACTAGTACCACTAGTAAGCACGGCCACCAGTACTAGTAGCTTCGCTTTCTGGATCACCCAGCTTGGACTTGCCGATCTCGGAATGCTTTCGCCGTCATCGTGCACCGCTAGTCGCGCATCCTTCATCTTCCCTCCGCCCATCGTCCCTCCGTTACCCTACGTCCGCCCATCGTGCATGGTGCGCAGATCAAGTTTTACTGTCTGGGCGACATGCGCTCGGGCGGGTGCCTGCTCGTGCGTGCGGCGGAGGAGGGCCACGTGGGCGCGCTGCACGCGCTCGCCACCATTAACGCGCACGGCAGCGGCGGGGCCGCGGCGGACGCCAACCCCGCAGTCGCCGCGGAGGTGCTGTGGCACGCGGCGGTTCGGGGGAGTCGGGCCGCGTTGCAAGAGCTGGGCCATTCGTACCTGGTATGACTGCTCCTGCCACTGCTCATTCCCCTCTCCTCGCCCCCATCGCGTTTCGGAACGCGTTTCGCTGCGGATCTCTGCCGTTCTCTGAAAACTAGGCGCGTCCCTCTCTTTCGGATTCCTGGCACGCTGCTTGGCTGTGCGCAGGACGGCTATGGCGTCGGGAAGAACGCGGCCCTGGGAGTGAGGCTGCTGCTGCTCGCCACGTCATCATCAACATCATCACCATCCCCACCATCACCATCCCCACCGCTCTCATCACCGTCCGTTTCACCTCAACAGCACCACCACCAAGACAGTCCCCGGGTTGGCTACAGCTCGCGCATGGCTTCCCCAGCCGGCGGGCCTGCTGGCAGCAGCCCTCCAGACTCACCTAGGGTACTGCTGGAAGAAACTCTGAGTAGCCTAAGTGGAAGTTTGCACGAGATGGTGTGCGAGTATGATTATGGAGCAGAGGGAATCGCAGGTGGGAGTACGAGCGGTGCTCATAGTGGTGCGATGCAGGCGGTGCCAGCAGTTGAAGGAGCCCTGGGGGAGATACGTGATGATGGCCAGTTGACTCAGGTCGCTACGTTCACCGAGCAACTTGGTAGCACCGCCTCTGGCGAATCTGCTGCCGTTGGAGATGGTAGTAGTGGCCCTGTATTGACCGCGACGGCCGGGTGGGAAGACAGCGGCATAGTTGGGCAATCTGGTGAGGACGTGGGAAGTGACTGTGGGCGGAAGGAAGGGCAAGGGCAAGGGCAAGTGCCGGCAGGGGCCGGGGAGTGTGTGTCGATGCCACTGCGGTGCGTGGCAGAGGGAGGAGGTAGAGCTAGCAGAGGAAGGGGCAGCAGCAGGGGCAGCAGCAGCGGCAGCAGCAGCAGTGGCGGCAGCAGGGGCAGCAGGAGGTCGTTGCTGCCTCGTGGGAGCAGCCTTGGTGGTTCTCAACTCCCATCCTCTGCACTGCCACCGACAACCGTGGTACCGCCGGCACTGCAGAGCAACACAGCTGGCACAGCAGCAGTGGAACATGTGCATGCAGCAACCGTTCCGGGTCCCAACTGTGAAGCTGAGGCTTGTGCTGGGGCTTGCGCTGGGGCTTGCGCTGAGCAGGTCAGCTCTCTCCTTGTCTCTGTCATCACCTGCCAAGCCGGCTGCCATTTGACCGTCTCCGTCACACGGAACGTTTCCCTAGCGCCAGTGCAGGAAGTGGCCACTATTAGCCTCTTCTCGCCCCAGGAGCAAGGCACGTTTCAGCAGGAGCAGCTGCCGCACCAGGTGATCGTCCCGTTCATGAGAGAGTGGGTGGCGCTGTTTGGACTTCCCGATGGGCAGCAGCTGTGTGCCAACTCGGCGTGCAGCCGCCTGGAAACGAGGCCGCATGAGTTTCGTTGTTGCGTGGTGTGTGAAAGGGCGCCTTACTGCAGCCGCACATGCCAGGTGGCGGACTGGAAAACAAGGCACTTCCGGGAATGCATCGCCTTTCACACCACGTCCCCGTCTTTTATGTAACTTATGGCGGATAGTCCAAGAATATGAGTTCCTTTGAGAGAATGCATGTCTGGTGTGCATGTGGAAGGGGTGAGTCAGTTTAAGACAGTCAGGCCCTCAGATATGAGGATTCTTTTCCTGATATTGCTTATTTTCAGGGTGATTTGCTGTACGGACCCTGAAAAATCACCGCTGGAATCTGGAAAACAGGGTAATTAGTATAAGAAACAGTACAAGCTCCGATTTTGAGGGTGTGGATGCCTTTGTGTACCGACCCTGAAAATTCAGTGTGGCCTAAAACGAATCTGAGGGCCTCCTTAATGACTCCTTATTGAGCATGCGATACGGCCGCTTTTGCATTAGATGTAAACGGAAAGGCTTGTGACGTCGTGCCCTTGTTAGAATACTAGAATGATAGAAACAAGAGAGTACAAGTAAGATATAGGGTTGGAGACATACTCTCTAAGAACACACCCCTATCTAGCCTATAACTTCTACATATAAAGATATGTATAAGAGCGTGTTCCTACCAGCCTCTTCCCAAGCAACCTCTTCCCGGACTCGCGTGCTACAGTGTCGCAAAATTTGACGCGAAATGTTTCAGTGAGATTCCGTGAAGTGCAAAGTGAGATTCGGCTTCCCTCGATTCAGGGGCGTGTTTTAAAACCTCTTTTCAGATGAGCAGATTTTCAGACAAGCGCGAATATGCACAGTAATTTTTCGATGCCAGCTGGTTTTATGTGGTTGAGAGCGATGGAACGCAAATATGAAACGGGAGTATTCTGAAAAGTGGTCTTGGGAACACACTCTCAAGGTCGCCCGTGAGTCTGGGAAGAGGTTGCCTGGGAAGAGGCTCGTAGGAACACGCTCTAAGTTGACACACCCTCTAGGCTAGATAAGGGGCAGTGCAGAGCAAGAAACATGCAGCTTTAGGTGGCACTACTAGTCCAACCTCTGAGGCAGGGGTCCAAAGACAAGTCAGCAAGAGTACAAACAAGACAGGAGCAAGCCAAGGCGGCACTACTAGTCCAGCCACTGGAACAGGAGCCACAAGGCCAGTCAGAAAAATATATATAAAGAGGAGTACACAATAAAGGTCCTAGCAAGTGAGAGTCTACAAGAACTAGACCAAGCTGCAAGCAGTGCCGCTGATTATCCCTAGGCAGAAGCACCTTAGTGAAGATATCAGCTGTGTTGGCACCGGAGGCCAAGTGTACGACTCAGGCCTGGCGGCGCTGCTGTAGCTCACGCAAGAGGAAGTACCGCCGCTGGATGTGCTTCGCTCTGCCCTCAAGTCAAGGCTCCTGACACAGTAGGATCATGGCCCTGTTGTCAGCGTACAGGACTGGGGCAGAGCTAGGCCGCGCACCTAAGGCAGTGAGCAAGACCGTCAGCCAGCGGAGCTCCTGTGCCGCCATGGCACCGACGTAGATCTCAGCCTCACAGCTAGACTGGGCAAAAGACGAGGAGCGAGTGGACCTCCACGAGATGGCCCCCGAACCAAGGATAAAGCAGTAGCCCTGGGAGGACCTGAGTGTCTCAGCGTCTTCTGCCCAAGAAGCGTCTGTGTGCCCAGTAAGGACCACCGGCCTGCGTCCTCCTAGCACTAGCCCCATGCCCGATGTACTCGCTAGATGACGCAAAACTCTCTTGGCAGCCGATCAGTGCGATGGTCGATGTCTGCCTGTGGCCACAAAGCAAGCCAGGATGCTGAGAGGATATGCAAGATCTGGACGAGTGCAAGTCATCAGGTATATGAGGCAACCCACCAGCTCGGCGTAAGGACCTGGCGCACCAAGTGTGACAGTGTGAGAGTGATGGTGCGCGCTGCTCTGTCCTTGGAGATCTGCACGCCAAGGTAACGGCGCAGCCAGGGCTTGTGCTAGGATTTTTGCTTCCCCGGGCGATCAGGGCTTGTGTGGAAAGTACCCTATAAAATCCGAGACCCTCTTTGAAATACCCTTTATTCACAGGGCTGGTTTTAAAAAGGCCCTTATATATCAGGGTGGATTTTTTCCTTTTGCTTATGCTATGCCTATTATAAAATGGTGGCTTTTGCGTGTTAAGTGCTTCTTTCTAGATAATGTATTCCAAGTTTTACACATAAAGCTACGAAAAAATGTATTAACGAGCATAAACCAATGTCTCGCCTACAAATCATCTCCTAAAAAATTGGCCTGCCTTCTCGGCTTGGCGATGCTCCAGATGTGGTACACCCTATCCCAATCAATCTCATAGTGGAGGATCTTCACCGCCATCAACTCCGCCAATCTCACGTCAGAGAGGCAGGTACGATCCCAACTTTTGATCACGTTTTGCCTTGAGAAACATCTTTCAAATTCCACCGTGCTGATAGGGAGCACAGCAATAGCCCTCCACAGATGGACCAACGATGGGAAACTTGAGGACCACTCATTCGTGTTGAGGATGTTCTTCAAGCTTTGGGCGAAGCCTTAGTTTTCGTGGCGCTTGAGAAGAGTGTTGGTCAACATCCCAATATCAGCATCGCATGCATCCTTGCCCACACCTAGAGAAAGGCACGGGAAAATGCCACGTAGAGAGCTTAGGCTACAAAGGTGACAAAACAAAGTGGCAAGATAGGAGTGTTTCGGACAAAAGTCTACACATGAGGAAGTTCAGGGTTTAGGCATGTGAGGACTTTTTGGCATGATTGCAAGCACTAAACGAAACCACTCAGATTTGAAAGTGAGTTCTGGTTTGGAGCAAGAACACATGTTGGGCAAAGGGATGGAGGCTGAAACGATTCAACAAGGCGCTTGGCCAAGGTGAGGTCTTATAGGCAACAGATTAATGGATTGAGTCTAACAAGACAGATAATATACATGCAATGGTCTATAACACCAATTGGTTGTGAAAAGGAATATCTAAAGGCAACACTCAAAGCTCAAGAATTACTTGCTAAACCCTTTGAACATGCTTCCGTGCTTCATACCCTCTTACCTGGCAGCTTATAGTCAAACAACTTGAACAGCAGATCCAGGTTGTCGGACCAGTACTTCTCCCTCTTCCCTGTATGCAGCAATGGGTACTTTTTGGGGCGGAATAGATTAGCTCCGTCGACCATTTTCAGGTCGTCCAGGCGACTATCGAGTGCATCAATCAGCCCCTGAGCAAACACCTTGGCTAAATCATAGCATTCCTCAGGAGATGTGCCGTACAAGGCACCTTTTCCGATGGGTTCATCATGCAAAGGGACTGTGTCCATGACCGTGTTACCCTCGGCATCCACCCCCTCAATCACCAAGACTCTCTTCTCGGTGCTTGCGTGCTTCTTCAAGAACGGAGCTAGACGGCTCTGCTTGAATTCGCCGAATCGTCCAACCGGCGTCACGTAACGCTGTTTCAGTGCAGAGCATGCATCATCCACCGTAGCCGCGACTGTGGTCAGATCTACCTGTAAGGGTTTTTGTAGGCAGCGGAGCATTCAGATTAAGGGACCATGGAAAGAAATACACAACTTAGCATACATGGAGGGTTGGTATGATTATAATGGAAACATTTGTATGTGACACCCAGATCCAAAACTCACTGTGCGGTCCTGGAACTTCATGCTGAGATTGTTGAGGACGAAAAGCACATCAGCCAGTAGGTACAACATGAAGTGGAACTTGAAGCTTGTAGCTGTCTTGAAGAGGGCGTGCTCCTCCTCATTCCAAATCCACAACAAGATGGGAAGGACCTCACAGAAGCGCATGACCGCCTCACCACGGGACAGCCACCAAATGGCTATCATGCCTAGCACCTGTAAGTCGGTCTTGCGTATGGCGTACTGCAGATTGAGGAACTTTTCGCGCCGGACGTTGGAACGGCCGAGCTGTTCAGCCGTGGTCTTGATGACTTGGTCAACGACCTCAAGATCTGGGAGCTTTGATGCAGCATCTTTTGCAGCCAAAGCCTCTCTGGAGTGTGGGGGATGCAGGGCTGTGAAAACTGAGAAGAAAATTCACATTTTGGAATCATCTCCACCTTTCGGGCAATGGCTACAAAAGGAAACGGGTAATGATTGTGCGAACAGCTGAGTGTCAACAAGATTACAACAAGAGTGTTTGTTGGGCAGAATTCTACATACGCAAAACTCACCGGTGTGCGATACAATGGAATGAAACCAGCCATGGGCAATGCTTTCGGATCCGATTCACGAGGCCACGCTTCTCCCCAATCGTCACCGAAGCGCCATCGGTGCTCATACCCACCAACTTTTGGAGATCAAGACCCTTCTCGTTGAGGTATTCGCATAGGACAGCACAGAGGGAAGCGGCATCGCACTTCTCTACAGGTAGGTGAGCTAGGACTTTGTTGATTAAACAATAAGACATAAAAGAGCGTTACTACTCAAAGCCTTATCAAAGTCATAGCAAAACAGAAACACATGCAAAGAGCGGTAGGAAATATGGAAGAACGCTTCAAACTTACGTTGTAAAGTAGGTCCCGCTCTTCTCCACCCGTGGCATGTCCTCAAGACCGAGCTCCACCAACCACAACGCCAAGATGGGGTACATGCTTATGGGGATGTCATGTCGGCCTGTGAAATATGTGATCTTCATGCAAAGAATCACACGACGCACTTTTCCCGGAGCATGCTGATAACTCTCCCATTGTTGCTTAAGCTCTTCGTGCTTCTTCTCCATAGTTTCGTTAGCAACATCGTTTTTGTGGGTGGTGCTATAGTGATGGCCTGTAACACAAGACCTCTGTATGCCACGTGCACCTAGTCCTGGCCGCCCGAATGGGGTGTTGAACTTGTCTGCTGCCCACTTCTCACAGACGCTACATTTCATACCATATTTTCCAAGCGACTTCTCAAGCTGCAAGCGAAGCCAAGGGAATTCGGCTATCCACTTTTTCAGCAGCAACTCCTCAACCACAATGGGTAGGTCAGAGGAGGATGCTTCCGCCAGATCAGTGGGAGGGGTGGGTTCCTCCTCCACGGCACTAACACCCTTGCGTTTCTTGCCAGATGGAGGTGGCGCAAAATTCAGGCGCTGCTGCGTATGACCGCGGTGGTTCGCCCTAACTGGGACTGAGGTGCTCGGGTGCACTGTGGCCACATTCGGGTCGGATGGATGACGGTGGATAGGCCAGTTCTCTGAGGTACCAACAGGGTAAAGTTCTAAGGTGTCAGAGTCTACCCTGGCCTGCTCAACGTGCATGGATTGGGGGCAGGAGGAAGAGGGCTCTTCGTCACTGTCTACTGAATCAATACTGTTGAGATCAATGGTCGTCCGTTCTTGACATGGAACCTTAGACTGAGAAACAGTTTTCCCCTTGCCACCTTCCTTGCCTAACGAAAGATTCAGGTCGTCCATTGTTGATGAGAACTATTATTGACTAGTACTATGCAGAAACTTATGAATCTTGCGAGCCTAAAGCGATACATACAGTGGCCGTGTCTAGCTGAAGGGGTTCTTCTAGGTCAATGTATTGTGAGCGACACGAGAGGAGGTGAGGGAAGGGAGGGACCTAGTGGGAGACTGCTGGGCGAGGGTGTTGTTTCTCTAAGGTGAGTTTCCCGCCTCTGCTTTGCTGCACGAGAGATCCGCTCGTCGGTGGGCTCGAGGCGGAAGTCCCTCACCTAGCGCGCTTGCGACCAATCACAGAGGCATAAATTGTGACGAGGGAGGGGGAAGGGGCAAGAGGGGCGGGGAAGAGGTAAGAGGGGGCAGGCGGGGTATTTGCGGGGGGGGGACGAGAAAAAAAGCCGAGCCCCTCGGAGAATTTCCCGGACGAACCCGGGCCACTTGAAAATTTCACGTACTCTTTCATGGCTATCTTCCAAAAAGCCTTTCAAAAACCCTGATCGCTTGGAAAAAAACCTAAGAATTGAAGTCAAGTCAGGGTAATTACCCTGTTAACGGGAGCCCTGGGCGCAGCTCTCTTAGGTCAGTGTAGGTGTGTCTCCTCAGCAGCTCGGCCTTCAGGGAGGCCAGTGCGTCTCTGTATGCAGTAGCGAAGACCAGGTCGTCTACGTAGATAAGGATGTAGAACGGAGTCTGGCCAGCACGAATGAAGAGCGAGGGGTCTACAGAGCATGGAAAGAACCACAGGTCAGCTAGCGTAGCATGCAGCGTGTCGTGCCACTCACGTGGCGCCTGTCGCAGGCCGTAGACCAGGTGCCGGAGGAGCCACTGGGTCCCAGGAGGGAAGGTACCAGCAAAGCCCTGAGGACAGCGCAAGTAGACCTGCTCGTGTAGGCTGCCCTGAAGAAATGCAGTGGAGAAGTTGAGGGAGTGAAGCTCGTAGTCATGATGTGCTGCTACGTGTAGCAGCGCCCGAAGAGTAGTCATCTTCTGGGTCGGGGCGACGGTCTGAAAGAAGTCCACCCCCTCGCGCTGACTGAAGCCTTGAGCCTCGTAGCGTGCCTTGAACATAGGCAGCTCTCCAAGAGGGCGCTTCACCTTGAAGAGCCACCGACCATCGACTACATTCACCCCAGGTGGGGGAACTGCGTCGATGTAGGTGCAGGTGGATCTCCAAGATGCCATCTCCTGCTCCATGGCAGCTATCCACTGAGAGGCCCAAGTTTCCGAGGTCGCCTCAGCGTAAGTGCGAAGGGTCACCCCCTTGCGCTGTTTGAAGCCTCTAGCAGCGTAGTGTGCTTTGAACACAGGCGGCTCTCCAGGAGGGCGCTTCACCTTGAAGAGCCGCTGGTCCTCGACTACATTTGCCCCAGGTGGGGGAACTGCGTTGACGTACGTGCTGGTGGATTTCCAAGATGCCATCTCTGTGTCCATGGAAGCTATCCACCGAGAGTCCTAGGGTCCCGAAGTCACCTCAGCGTATGTGCGAGGGGTCGGGATGTCAAGGGCATCCTCAGAGGCTAACAGCATGGAGCAGAGATGAAGAGCGGCCTTGGGCAGGAAAGCTAGCTTGCATAGCCTGTCCTATAGAACGTCACTGCCAAGGGAAGGTGCACCCCCGACGGACGGAGGACGGGCAGGGCAGTGGTAAAGTCAAGGCGGCGGGTAGAGGCAAAGTCAGCGACAACAACGACAAGAGCTGAGAGATTGGAGACAGGAACGAGCGGGTCGGTAAGAAGAGAGGTGAGGACACGAGGAACCAGAGGTCGAGCAGCACGGAGAAAGTTGGAGAGAGGAGGCAAGGAGACAAAGAGAGACGATTGAGGAGGTTTCGGGAGAAGAGGAGCGGGAGGAGCACAGGACACGTGAGAACGGAGAGACATAGGGTGGACACTCGGAGTAGGAGAGACATGATGAGTACGGAATGGACGGTGAGACCACCAGCGAGAGGGGGGCGTGGGGTATGGAGACAAGGGAGGAGACGCAGGAGGGGAACGAGGGGGGAGACGAGTCGGGGACGAGTCCGGCGCAGGCAAGACAGGGCCGTAGACAGGCAGAGGAGGGGCGCTAGGGGAGGCACGGATGGGCGGTCGGGAGAAGTTGAGGGAGTGAAGCTCGTAGTCACGATGTGCTGCTACATGTAGCAGCGCCCGAAGAGTAGTCATCTTCAGGGTCGGGGCGAAGGTCTGAAAGAAGTCCACACCCTCGCGCTAACTGAAGCCTCGAGCAACGTAGCACGCCTTGAACATAGGCGTCTCTCCAGGAGGGCGCTTCACCTTGAAGAGCCACCGACCATCGACTACGTTCACCCCAGGTGGGGGAACTGCGTCGACGTAGGTGCAGGTGGATCTCCAAGATGCCATTTCCTGCTCCATGGCAGCTATCCAATGAGAGGCCCAAGGTCCCAAGGTCGCGTCCGCGTATGTGCGAGGGGTCGGGGTCTGTGAGAGTACGACCCCGTTACACTTCTTCTCTTTCCATATTTCCTTTCTATTTCATTCCTCTCTCACTTCTGATTCATTTGGTCTTTATCTCATCTGATTTGGTTTCCTATTTCATTATCCTTTTGTTTATCCTATTATTATTATTATATCACCGACCAGGCTCGGGATGTACTGGCGTGCCATATCTAGCGTAATCCTGCCGTAGTCCCTTTAAGCCAATAGCCTCGCATGGCTATACGCAAGGTGATTCTATTTCTAGAAGGGTCTATTCCCTTTGGATAAGATAAACCTAGTTACCTGATGTACTCTGGAAGTATAAAAGTGCCTTATATCAATCGATAGTGCAACTTTTCCTCGACACGTTTGATGCTGTAACACTTGGTAATCAGAGCTTTTCTCACCCGGGCGCGCTCAGCTAAGCAGAAGCAGCGGGAAAACCTTCTTCAAAAAACCGCCGGGGGCGACTAATTCGGCGCCGTTCTGGTAAGCACGAGCTCCGCGTTTTTGAATTGACCCCTCGGCGCGTGTTTTGAACATGATGGCGAACTTCGACAACGCCGAGGTTACCCAGCAGCTCTTCGCGACATCGCCGCCCTACAGGAGGAGATGCGAGCCGACCGCGAAACTTGGCGAAACGAGTTCGGGCGAGTACAGTATGTGACAAGGCAACAATCAACTGAATTCGAGAAGAGTAGAAGCCTTCAGCATTCTCTGCAACGACAGTGGACGGCAGCAAGTTACCAGTATACGACGAAGCAGTGCTACACCTACAAATCGGACCACTGCGCTAGAGACCTGCACTCCCCATCACCAACATAAAAGGGCTTGACTTGATCTTCGGGCGAGACTTCCTAAAAAGATTTAACCCCGAGATCAACTGAGTAAATCGCACCGCAAGCATCTACAACAACGGAAGGAGAGTCCAGCTACCCAACTGGGACGATACATGAGATATCCCAATGGAGACACTCGCAAGATTCGAGAAGGACGTCAAGCGAACTGACACTGGATTCCTGGCGATAGCAACAAAGGTGGAGAGTGACGGAGAGAAAGCCTCGGAACCTAAAAAAAAAATCAAGGAAATACTTAAAGGAATTGCAAGACATTCTTCTCAACGACCTCCAGAACGAGCTGCCGCCATACGAAACGCACCAACACGAGATCGTGGAAGAACCCGGTTCGAAGCCGATCTTTTGAGCACCATATCGGCTCAGTCCTACAGAGCTAGCCGACATGAAGAAGTAGATCGAGTATCTCCTCGCCAAAGGACTTATCCGACCATCCACTTCGCCATACGGTGCCCTAGTAATCTTCACACCGAAACCGGACGGGAGCCTGCCCATGTGCATAGATTACCGAGCTCTCAATAAGCAGACCATAAAAAACAAGTACCCGATTCCACGAATCGATGACCTGCTTGACCAGCTTCGGGGAGATACGGTTTTTTCCAAACTAGATCTGCGGTTCGGATACTGGCAGATACGAATGGCAGATAAATCCACAAAACGGCCTTCCCAACTCGGTACGGGTCGTACGAGTATCTGGTAATGCCATTTGGACTCACCAACGCATCGGCAACATTCCAAGCCGAAATGAACTACATACTACGACCATTCTTAAATGAATGCTTGGTGGTGTACCTGGAAGACATCCTCATTTACTCGCGCGACATGCAGCAGCACATCCAACACCTTCGACGCGTCTTCGACATTCTTCGACGAGAACGGTTCTATGTCTAATTATCCAAGAGCAAATTCGCCCTCGAGAAAGTCCAATTCCTCGGACACATGGTGAGCGCTCAAGGAGTTCACGTCGATCCCAAGAAGATCGAAGCCATACGCATGTGGAAGACACCCGAGAATGTGAAGGAGTTGCAGCAGTTCCTAGGCTTCGCTAACTATTTCAACAGGTTCATGCCACAGTACGCGAAAATCGCAACACCACTCACGAATCTGCTGAAGAAGAACACGCCCTATAAGTGGGAACCACAACATCAAGAAGTCGTGAAGCAGCTGAAACAGGCACTCACGTCTGCATCCGTACTCATCTTGCCAGACCCCGAACGCGACTACGTCATCGAAGCTGACGCTTGCAACCAGGCAAAAGGAGCAGTCTTGATGCAAGACCAAGGGAATGGACTGCAACCAATCGCCTACCTTAGAAAGAAACTACACGGGGCAGAACTAAACTACCCGATACATGACAAGGAGGCCCTTGCTATTATCATCACCTTCAAAACGTGGAGATGTTATCTCAAAGGACGAAAAACAACCGTCTACACCGACCCCTGCAGCCTGAAATGTTTGAAGACACAACCAACTCTTTCCAGGCGGCAGGTCCGGCGGATTGACTTCCTCGAGACACACTTCCACTACGACATCGTGTACAAGCCCGGCCATAAAAACAAAGTCGACGCTCTCAGTCGGCCTGCACACGTTGCCGCAATCCAGGTTGAAGGGATGAATCCACTACTCAAGGGAATCTTCAACCCTTCGGGGTCGATGAATCCACTTCGGGGTCGATGGCATACTACCCGAAATTCCTTTGGCACCAAAACGATGCATGCTCCAGTGGGACAGTGGCATCGCATACCAGAAAGGATCCACAAAAATCTGGGTACCCAATTACCCTCCTTTGCGCCAGTTGCTACTCGAAGAATATCACAATGTCCTATACGCAGGACACTTCAGTAGCAACAAGACGCTCACCGGTATTGCAAAGCACTACTACTGGCCCCACATGGTGGACGACGTCCAAAAATTTGTCACCTCGTGTGCTACGTGCCAGCGGATGAAGAGCAGCAAGCAGAAAAACGCAGGACTGTTATAGCCTCTTCCTGTCCCAGAACAGCCATGGCAAGTGGTTAGCCTGGATTTCACCACCGGGTTACCAACTACCACAAGCGGTCATGACGCAGTCCTTGTCGTCATTGTCAAATTCTCCAAAATGGGACACTTCATCCCGACACACACGACAGCATGCACCGAAGAGACAGCACAACTATTCGTTCGCTACATCATCTCACAACATGGCATTCCAACCCCACTCATCTCTGACCGAGACCCCAAGTTCACCAGCAAGTTCTGGAAGGAACGGATGTCTCTGCTCGGGACCAAACTCGCCATGTCATCAGCCTACCATCCGCAAACAGATGGACAGACCGAGCGCCTCAACCAGATTGTAGAGCAACTCCTTCACACCGTATGCAAAGACGAAATCTCTAAATGGGACTTGCATCTGCACGTCCTGGACTTTGCCTACAACAACGCCAATCATGCCGCTACTGAACAGACGCCACAAAAACCGACAATCTCAGCCACAGTCCAACCCGCACACGACTTCATCACGACCATGCACCAACTTTGGGATCGGACCCACAAGCGCCTCATCAACATTCAACAGCAACAGAAGCACCAGACCGATCATCACCGCACTGACCACACCATCACCGTGGGAGACCGGGTTCTCCTCGACACCCGCAATCTCGACATCGGTCATCTTCCATCCAAACTGCAACCTCGCTTCTGCGGGCCCATTCTCGTCGAAGCACAGGTCACTCCTGTTACCTTCCGCTTGCGCCTACCAGCTATCTGGAAGATTCACAACGCCTTCCATGTCCAACTTCTGAAGCCCTATCGAGATCCTAACACGGTCTTCACCTGACGCCAACCCCCACCGCCGCCGTCCATCCTTGTCTACGATGAACTCGAGAACGAGTTTGAGTCCGTGCTTGCACACCATCGTTGTCGAAATGGCGACGTGGAGCTTCTCATTTGTTGGAAGGGTTATGATTCTTCTGAGGATAGTTTGGTTCCTAAATCTGCGATGAGTAACGCTCGTCGTCCTCTTCGCGACTACCTTGTCAAGCAGGGTGTTACTTCTACCACCCAGCTTTGAGAGGGGGAAGTGTGAGAGTACGACCCCGTTACACTTCTTCTCTTTCCATATTTCCTTTCTATTTCATTCCTCTCTCATTTCTGATTCATTTGGTCTTTATCTCATCTCATTTGGTTTCCTATTTCATTATCCTTTGGTTTATCCTACTATTACGATTATATCACCGACCAGGCTCAGGATGTACTGGCGCGCTATATCTAGCGTAATCCTGCCGTAATCCCTTAAAGCCAATAGCCTCGCGTGGCTATACGCAGGGTGATTCTATTTCTAGAAGGGTCTTTTCCCTTTGGATAGGATAAACCTGGTTACTTGATGTACTCTGGAAGCATAAAAGCGCCTTGTATCAATCGATAGTGCAACTTTTCCTCGACACATTCCATCCTGTGACAGGGTCACCCTCAGGGACTAGCAGCATGGAGCAGAGATGAGGAGCAGCCTCGGACAGGAAAGTAAGCTCGTACTGCCTGTCCTCTAGGACGTCACTGCCAAGGGCAGGAGCACCCCTGATGGACGGAGGACAGACAGGGTCAGAGACCAGAGCGGTGGCATAGCCAAGGTGACGGGTAGAAGCGAAGTCAGCGACAGTAGCAACAAGAGCGTCAAGACAGGAGACAGGAAGAGACGGGTCAGTAACGAGGGAGGCAAGGACTCGAGGAACAAGAGGACGAGCAGCACGAAGGTAGTCAGACAGAGGGAGAGGCATGACAGCAAGCGACGACGGAGGAGGGGAAGTCAGGAGGGGAGGACGAGACGCGTGGGAATGAAGCAAGATAGGGTGAGAACGCGGAATAGGAGAGACAGGATGAGCACGAGAGGGACAGCGAGACAAGACGTGAGACGGAGGCGTCAGGTCAGGAGACAGAGGAGGAGTAACAGGAGGGGAACAAGATGGGAAACGGGCCGGGGACGAGTCCAGCGGAGGAAACATAGGGCCGTGGACAGGAAGGGGAGGAGGCGGCGGGGGATGCACAGGCAAGCGGTCTAAGGAGGGAAGGCCGAGAAGACAAAGGGCGGCCACCGGCGGCAACTGCTGCTGCTTTTGCTCGACACCGACACCTGGACCCCCAGCTGCACCGCGACTACTTCTGGAACCCTCCACTCCTGCACCCCCAGAACGGGCACCCCCAGAGCAAGAACCCTCTCCAACACCGTTGCCACACCCGAGCTCGCCGGGACAAGCCACGACATGATCCCCAGAACTAGAACACGACAAGCCACGACAGGAACGGGAACTCCTCAACGCGAGCACCCCCAGAGTCCACGAACAGTTGCTGCCGCTGCGATAGGGGTGGCTGCTGCGGCGGCGGCGACTACGACGACGGAGGAGGAGACACCGGGGGAGAGACAGGCGGCAAGAACTACGCCGCAGGGCCACCAGAGTCAGCCGAATCCTCGACCGGGACAACCGACGGGAGGGGAGTGACGTGAGACACACCAAACGGAGCAGGACGGGGAGGAAGATGAGCGGAGGCTACCGGGGGAGTGGGGACCAGAAGCCGAGGAGAGGAAACCGGGGGACCTCGGTGGGGAAAGCGGTGGTAAAAGGAGACAAACTTGTCGAAAGTAGCGTCACGGGAGTGAAAGAAGCGGTGAGACGGCGGGTGGTAAAAGTGCCAGTCAGACGAGTCCAGGGGGAAACCGAGGAAGACAAAAGGAACAGTGCGGGCGGTGAGCTTGTCCTTGCCAAAGGCATGGACGTGCGCGAGGCAGCCCCAGACGTTGAACTCGGATGCGTCACAAGGGAACCCGGTCCAAAGAAGGGTCGGCGAAACCTACAGCCGCTGGGAGCGCGGCCAGAGGTTAAGCTGCTAAGCAGCGTAGCGAACTGCGAACGGCCACAGAAAATGGGGTGCGCCGGCATGAATCATGGAGGTATGCGCCACCTCCATGACCAAGCCGATGCATCACTCAAAGACCCCATTCTACTGCGGGGAGTCCGGTAGGGTCTACGACTGGGTGATGCCCTCTGCACAACGGATCTGTCCAAGCCGACCAGAGGCGAACTTGCCGCCACGGTCGGAGTGGAGACACAACACAGAGAGACCGCGGTGGAGGCAGGCAACCATAACCCACGGGATAAGAACGCCAGGCACGTCGGCCTTCCGCTCCAAAGGAAACACCATGGTGTAGCACGTGAAGTCGTCCACGAGCACTAGAAAGTAGCGCTCACGACGCGGTCCAGGGACGGGGGCTGGGCCCTAGACCTCCAGGTACAGGGTCTGAAGGGGTGCGGTGGCGGGACAAACCGAGGAGGAATGAGGAGCATGGCACAGCCGGCCCTCGACGCAAGGCGTGCACGGCAGCGCAGGTGAGAGAGGGAGGGAAGGAAGAGATGCAGTGAGACCTAGGACGAGACTATGCTGAGACATGTGACACAGACGCGGGAGTGCGGGGTGACCTAGGCGGTGGTGCCATGGAAGCGACGGGTGAGTGAGCGACCAACACGAGCAAGCCGCGGCAACCAGGGTAGACGCAGGGCCTAGGGAGGACGTGCCAACCGGGGGGGGGAGCAGTGTCCAGCGTAAAGAGGCCAGACACTAGGTCCCGGTGGAACGTCGCAAGGGGGGAACCTGAGGCGGCTTCGGTACAGACAGCATACCGCTCGTGACCAGGAAACGTAGTGGTGACACCGAGGTCCTGAAGACAGCTGACACCAACTAAGTTCCTGGAGAATGAAGGGATGTGGAGGCCTTTAAGGGAGCCCAAGGGGACCGCTCGACAGGGGAGGGTAGTGTAGCTGCGAGCAATGACAGGACCAGAAGAGGGGTCAGCAAGTGCGACAGCGGGGGCAGGCGTGGCAAGCGGCATGAGTGTGGCGTGGTTGCGAAAGAAGCAGGCAGAAGCACCGGAGTCAAGTGTGAAGGACAGCGAAGCAGTAGCGGTAGATGAAGGAGCGAGTGTAGAGTCTAGGCTAGACAGAGAAAACGATCCTATGCTTGACGCAACAGGGGTGTCTGTACTACACACAGGTGCTATGCCTAAGCTAGAGAACACATGGTTATAAGATCCGGACACACTAGAAGCGTCAGCATATCGAGAATCCAAGGCAAAACTAAGATGATCCATGTCTTAATCAAAAACAGGCACACCGTGACGCAGCAGGCTGGGCCAATCAGGGAGGTCCGGATCCGGGCCGAAGTGGCGACGAAAGAGGTCATCGAGGCAGCGGAATCAGCGGGAGGTCGGGTGCGGGCGGCGGCACACAGTGCCACAGAGGGGCCCGGTCTGGAGCTGGTACTGGCAGCCCACTGCACCGAAGCCGCCGGTAGACACCGAGCTACGAGGACTGCCACCTCGGCCACCACCTCCACGGGCTCCCGGCCACCCCGGCGAGAGGCGGGCCCACGGCTGCTACTGCTGTTGCTTCTGCGGCTGGTGCTGCTGCTGCTGCGGCTTCTGCTGCGATTGCTATGGCTGCTGCTGCTCCTGGACACCTGCCCCAACCCCCTCATCAGAACCACTGTCGCCGCCACCACCACTACCACGCCCTCCCTTGGGGCCGTGACGGCCCCGACGCTGTCGCTGCTGCTGCGGGAAGGCCGCCGCTGCGATCTCAGTGGCAGGAGCAGCTGTAGTGACCGCAGTGGAAACGTCAGCGTACGTACACTGGGAGGGAGCACAACCCTGAAAGACAGAGGGGGCCGACGAGGGGCCAGCTAGGGCGCGAGGGGCCGGTCAGGCGTGAGGGGCCAGCGATGGCACAAGGGGCTGGCGATGGCGTGAGGGGCCGGATACGGCGGGAGGGAGGGCTGGCTGGTCGTGAAGGGGCCGGCTGGGCGCAAGGGGCCGGCTAGGGCGCAAGGGGGGGGCAACGACGGCGTGAGGGGTCGACTAGGGCGCAAGGGGCCGGCTAGGGCGCGAGGGGCCGACTAGGGCGGGAGGGGCCGGCGACGGCGTGAGGGGCCGTCTAGGACGCGAGGGGCCTGGTGGGGCGCAAGGGGCCGATGAGGCGCGAGAGGGGGCCGGCTGGGGGCGAGAGGCCGACTAGGCGCGAGGGGCCGGCTACGGCGCGCGGGGCCGGCTACGGTGCGAGGGGACGGTGGGCAAGCTAGGGTCCGGTAAGGCGCGGTAGGCTAAGGCGTGGGGCGGAAGCAGGTGGGGGGGGACCTAACCTACTCATGATACCATGTTAGAAACAAGAGAGTACGAGGAAGATATAGGGTTGGAGACGTACTCTCGAAGAACACATGCCCTAGGTCGACAAGATGTAATGACATTGGGTGTGGATTTCGTGTGGTTATACTACAATTTGCACCGTACTACATAGATGAAAGGACTGAGCCATCTTCATACACAGAGTACCACCTCTGCAATATACTATTCGAAGGACGTTAGGTACGAGTAGCTGGGAAGCCATGAAAAGATCGAGAGGTTTAGCTAGGGGGGAGAAGTTAATGAGAGAAAAGACGAGAACTAAGAAAGAGAAGGAGATACAAGAAGGGGGGGTTGTCCCCTCTACAGTAAGATTCAGCAATGTAGCAAACCTACCAAGCCTAACAAACACATATATATATATATATATATATATCCATCTAATTTGACATATACCTGGTGCCAAAACCTCGCTGCCCGTTCGTCCGCGTCGTACGTACACCTAGTGAAGAAAGAATTAAACGTGAAGTCGGAGGTGTATGTAAGGGGGCGGTACATTTCGGAGAGAAATGGTTTTTCGGCAATTTTGAACGCACACCCCACTCGTCCCGTCTTGACCTACGTTCGAAAAAACATATGCAAAATACAGGGGTTCAAGACAACACAGAGCTTGTACCATAGCGCGGTTCGCCCTTTGACGTTCAAGATGCAAAATGCGCGATGCGGCAAATTTGCGACAAGACGAACGTGACGACATTTCAAAACTTTTCAACAAAGTCGTGCCTACCACATTTTGGTGTCGCGAAAATTGCGAGAGGAGACGACATGCGCAAAACTACGTGAGGCGCGTTTGTCGGCAACTCCGTACTTTTGGCACTGTCTTTGAGAAAACGCGCGCTCCGCCCAATCCTTGAGTTGGCTGAATTGCGCCACAACGTCACACCGCGCTGCAATGGTAACCCAATTTTCCTGAATTGGACAGCATAGCCACTTTTCGAATGTTCTGTACACGTAGGTGTAGCAATTTTTTAAAATTTCGGTGAGTGGGACGGGCAGGAATGGGTTCCCTCAGGCAAGTGGATGGCGCAACCACTTAGGACCGTGTGGTTGGCAAAACGGGAACGTGCGCACAGTGTCACTGTAGCGTACAGTATGTCGAGAGACCCGCTGGGGTTACCTTTGAGAAGATCCTCGAGGAAGGGCCACAGGTGCAGAGCCTGGGGGGCTATGGGCGCATAGATCCACTATTAACAAGCCCTTTTAACTCAGTGGTTAGTGACGGAGTTCTGACATGGTATCAAAGCGTTGGTGACTCGGGTTCAATTCCCAGTGCTAGCGCTGCAGAGGCGCTCGTGTCCTCCGCCTATCACAGGGGGGGGGGGGGGGTGTTGAAAGACCCGCTGGGATTACCCTTGAGAAGATCCTTGGGGAAGGGCCACAGGTGCAAAGCCTGGGGGGCTATGGGCACACTGACCCACTATTAACATGCCCTTTTAACCCAATGGTTAGCGAATGAGTTATGACACAGTACACGTGCTGAGATACAGTGACAGAAACAATTGTCCGCATGTTTTGCATTAATTTGTGTTTTTTAACTTTAAGACCACCGTACATTACGCCTTAATGTTTAATGGTGGTACGATTTGGGAGGGGCATATAGTGGATGTTTTCACAGCACAACTATCTAGAATAGTACATTGGATCTAACTCATATCCCAAAAGATTTACAAAAGGTACAGCCGGACAAATATTTCCAAGCAGAAAGAGCAAACTTCAGAAGTGCGTTTCTAGTTCTAAGCCCATTGACCTTTGGCCTTGATCACTGCCCGTACCCTCCTAGACATGCTGTCAATGAGGCTAAAGCAAAATTCGGCATGGATCTTTCATTCTTCGTGGACCAAGTCTTAAAGCTCCATCATTATAGAGGAAGGCCTTTTATGCTTGGCCAGCTCCCTTTTCAGGTAAGCTCAAAGGTTAATGTTTGATGAGAAAGAATGCCACTCCAAGGCTACATACTCATGTTCTCCAAGTCATTCCTGCACTAGGCATGACAAATTCTTGGGGTCATTGTCCGCACCGAAATGACATCAGCGAGGAAAATGCTATAGAAATTGAGGGTCGATTTGAGTTCATCATGCAAAATGCCCTCATACAGGGGCATGTCCATGCGCCCATCAATCTTGCATATGAACCCCACCCCCGCACATGTCATACATCCCCACACCATCACCGATTCTTGTCCTCATGGTTTACCATCTGTTTGATTTGCTGGTGTTGCAGGGTTGTGCCTTTGCGAATCCAGGCAAACACGCGGCCATTGGAGCTGAAGCAGTTGATGCTGGTCCCATTTGACCGGATCACATGCTTTCGAACACAAATTGTCCACTCAGCATGCGACTCCAAGAATTGCAGCCGGCCCCTGATAGTTTTTCAAATTAGTCATGGCTTCTATGACTGCTGCACCGTGACTAGGCCCGTGGACCCTAGTGTTTTTTTAATGGTGCAAGGGTTCATAGTCAACCGTGCAACTTTACCCTCAGTTTCGCGGTGTGTACATGAGATTTGGCTGCTCTATTCATGATTTTACACTACAACCATACGACAAAAACGATCCGTGATAAGATGGGCCCGAACGGCTAATTGCATCTTTGGCCACACCTCAGCATGGCTAGTCTCGGGGATACCATTCAATCCAAAATCGTCCACAATACTCTTGCCTACGCCCAACTTCTTCGCGATAATCCTAGTGCTCACCCCCTAATGCAAAATGGTAGGTCCATGAAGAGTGCAAGACGTTCCCTGCCGAAGTTTGTACTAACCTCGTAGGTAACATGCCTAGGAGGGTGTGGGTGGTGATCAAAGCCAAAGGTCAGTGGGCTATGTACGAGAAACGCAGTCCTGAAATTTGCTCTCTCTACTTGGAACTATTTGTCCGGATGTACCATTTGTTTATCTTCTGGGATATCAGTTAGATCCAATGTACTATTCTGGATTTTTGTGCTGTTAATACATCCACTATGTGCCCCTCCCTAATCGTACCACCATTAAATACTAAGGCTTAATGTATAGTGCTCTTAACGCCTAAAAACCCAAATTAATGCAAAACATACGGACAATTGTTTCCGCCACTGTACTTTACAGTTGGATTCGCACGCCAACTGACGAATTTCCAAACGGCTCGTCACCTGTAGCTTTTTCCCGCCAGATCTATCTGCCTCGACATTCATGCGCACGACTTTGAAATCTTCGTGAGGTGACGCGGTGTGTTCATGAAAGGACATGTCCATTCAGATTACGATCATGACCCCTGATGGCCTTTTTGTGCACCCATGTGACTTGCAAACTTGTATACCAGTATCTATTTGTGAAAGCTCAATAACAATAGCATCAGAAGGGAGGTTTAGGCAGTAAGTAATGTGCATAAATTTTGTGGTTTCCTAGTTGTCGGTGCCACAATGGCGTCAGAGGATTACCAGCGTGTCCTAGGACGAATGCATCAAGTGCCCCTCTTTGAGCCTCGCATAGGGACGCCTAATGACAGCAAGCCATTGGAAGAGGGCAACCTTTTTAGTGACAGGGATACGTGTCTGGAAGCCGTTTTTGCGTTCGCGTTGGTGTATCACTTCGGCGTCAAAGTGGTCAGAACGAAAGCACGGTCCGCTTGTAGGTTGCAAGGCTACATCGGATGGTCAGCTTCCACCTTGCATGTGGCAATGTGCCTATGCACGGATCGAGCATGGAGATTTTTGGCGAATCACTCTCCTCATGGATCCAGATACGCACACGTGCCCACTCCACTAGAGGGAGAACTACGCACCTGTCATTGCCAACAAACTTTCTGTCCTGATCCGCGTTCATGGCAACATGGTCCGAGCGGACCCTTTTGTGTCACCCGTGCAGTTGAAGAGCATGATGGAGGGCGCAAGGGGGGTGGAGATCAATTACTCGCAGGCACGGCGGCTGCGTGAATACATCATGGAGGAGCGCTTCTGAAACTGGCCAGAGTCCTTCCGCCAGATTCCGTGGCTTGCGAGTCGCTTAAGGGTGATCGATCTGGACGTGAGCGTAGACTTGGAGACTAGCGGAGGCTGCTTCTACCGCATCTGGATCTCGCCCTCAGCATCCCATGTTGGCTTCAGTTGGTGTTGGCCGGTCATCGCGCTAGACAGCAGGCACCTGATCAGTGCACAAAAGGCGATGCTGCTAATTGCAGTAACGTTGGACAGGAACCAGGAGTTCTTGCCGCTTGCATGGGCCCTCGTGGGGTCAGAAACGAAGGACAATGGGACGTGGTTTTTGAAACACCTCCTCCAAACGTTTCCGGAGTGGGCAGTCAGGGAGAACGGCTCAATCATTAGTAATAGAGACAAGGGGCTGGTCCCACATTCCGCATTACTTTTGCATCTGGCACTTAGAGCGGAACATTTAGAAGTTCGGGCCGGCGGCGAAGGCATTTTTCTGGCGCCTCGTCAAGTGCCGGGGTGATTTCAAATGGAATGCACTGGTTGGCATGCAGACACAACTTTCCGGACATGGCGGCCTACCTTTTCGGGCCCGTACCAATCCAAGCAGCGCCGGCACCACGCGCTCGTCCAGCGGGCCACCCACCGCCTGCTCCGGACAGCTATGCTGGAGCAAGGGCCTACCTCTTTGCACGAGCTCGTGAGGCGAGATGGGAAGGGTTTAGGTCGGGGGGGGGAGCACAAGGAGACAAGAACGGCTGGACGGATGGAGAGCACGAGGAATGTGGGGGAGGCCAGCCGTCTGCCTCAGGAGAGGGCTTCCCAGGCATGGCTGGTGCGGCTTGGAATGGAGGGGGGACGTGGCGGAGACGCCGACCTGCTGACGTACCGCCAAATGATAGGGACGTTGAGGATGGAGGGGAAGCGGCCGGAGGAGCCTTCATCTTTGGTGGGGGAAGGCCACATGGGGCGGGCCACAGTAGTGGCCGTGACGGCGCAGAACCGCAAACACCAGAAGGGGTGGCACCTTCATCCAGGATGGCCGGTGGGGAAGGCGGTGGGTTTCCTGAGGCTGCCGGATAGGGGGGGGGCACATGGAGGGCGGCTGCAGATGCCAAAGTCTCGCCCGCCCGCAAAGAGGCCACAACCCCTCAGCGGGAGTGGGTGGGCGTGGACGTGGAGCAAGTGAGATTGAGATAGGAAGGGGACAAGCTCGGCATCAAGGGAGCGGAACGGCTAGAGACAGAGTCCAATGTAGTGGGCGAGCTGGGCGTGGTGGAGGACGTGCTTGAGGTGCACGAGTGGAGAGAGGAGGTTGGTCAGGTCATGCGGGCCTTTGGGGCATCGGATGCATGGGAGGACGATGGCGGTGAAGGTGGGAATGGACCTGGCATGGAACACCTCGGAGAGGGGGAGCCCCATGGGCAACAATGGGAGGGCAGGGAGCTTCACAGTTTGGTGAAGCTCGTACAGCGGGCACGGAGGAACCGAATGAGACTCCACCATGCGTTGAGTCTGGAGGCTCGCATTGGGAGGCTGTCGGCGGGAGTGGGTGGGGTAGAAAGTCCTAAGGGGGATAGGGTTTGGGGACACGGAGGGCAGGCTGGGTTGGAGGGAACGCAGGCAGCTGCCAGGGGTCATGGTATGGAGCCCGGCAAGGGCCGGGCACCTGTCGAGGGGGGTGGGGAGGGCAGGGCGCTGGTGCAGGAGATGAAGGCACTGGCACGCGTGCAGGCATGGGGGGAGTACCTCACAGCAGAGGCCATGGATCACCCTTCAAAGGAAGCCGGGGCATAGGGGGGTGTTGTGCTAGGGGGGGGGGGGGGGGGGGGGGGGGGGGGGGTGTTGCTGGCACAAGCGTGGGAGTTGGTGGGGACCATCGGTCATCGAGCGTGGATCCCCGTTTGGATGCTGGCAGCCCTAGGTGGAATGCTCAATGCGTGGATGGGGTGGGTGGCAGCGGCACCAGCGCAGGGATAGGGGGAGCACCACACGTGGGCGGGCGTGGATCACCCTTCCAGAAAAGCCGGAGCGCCGGTGGGTGTGCTGCTGGGCGGGGGGCGGGAGTAGCTGGCACAAGCATGGGAGGTGGGGGGGCATTATCGGTCGTCGAGTGTGGATCCCCATTTGGACGCTGGCAGAGCTCTAACAGTCCAAGTGGTAGCCCCGGGGTGAATGCTCAATGCGAGGGTGGGGTGAGCGGCGGCGGCACCAGCGCAGGGATGGGGGGGGTACCACACGCGGGCAGGCATGGATCACCCTTCCAGACGTTGCAGGGCACAGAGGGGTGTGCTGCAGGGCAGGGGATGGGGGTTGCTGGCACAAGCGTGGGGGCCAGACAGCCGGGGGCGGGATGGTTGGGAGACATAGAAATTGGTTTACCACCATGCAGGAACATGTTTCTGAGCGGTGGCGGGTATGCGGATTCGACGTTGGGTGGTGCCAGGCACCCAGGCGGACGTGGAGCAGGCAATCTATTTTTGGATCTGGGCATGGGCACTATGGGTACAGGGGGGGGCCCAGTGCCTCCACGTTCACAAAGGGGAACGACTATGCTTGTCTCAACGCCTTCTTCGTGGGGAACTGGTACCCTCCCATTCGATTGGACAGCCATCCTGGCACGGACAAATGAAGGGCATAGGGCCGAAGACATAGACACAGGAGTTGGCATGGCAGCTGCATCGGGCGCCTGGGATGAGGAGAACATTGGTGAGAGGCCAGAGGATATGGGAACGCAGGAGTCAGAGGTTTGGGAAAGAATCCTCTCGATACCTTGGCTGGACATAGGGGATTTTGCGGAACAGCTGCATGCAGTCGATGGGGAGCTAGTATCCGAAGACCCGGAGGACGAAATCAATGCGAACAGGGCGGAGGAGGATGTCGAAAATGGTCAGTGTGTTCCTGGCTCGTGCAAGGCTTGCTCCTGTGGAATTCACGCTAAGACGGGCTACCACCAGAACCGCAAGGGATCTTCCTACTGAATCATGAGCATTCGGCTGCTGCACTGGGCAAGGCTGTTTGCTGTGACCCCATTGTGAGGGATGGAGGTGGCGGTGGGGGGGAAGGGGGATGGGCTGCTACAGAGATTGACGCTGCCTCCAAGACCGCTGGCCGGGGATAGAGTGCAGCACGCCCTACAGGCATTGGTGGGGCGGTGGGTCTGATGGTGGGTGTGCCATGGGGGCTGTCGCCTGCCACAGTGAGACCCTCGAGCGCATCCATAGCCTTCTGCAAAGCGCCGCCCTTGGCGGCGTCGAGTGGGCATGATGGCTGCGCGCCTGAAGAACTAGCTCCAAGGCCCCCCGGGCACATGTCTCTGATGGCCCCCCCTTCTTCCACAGGCGCACGCCCTCCGCTAGCTGCCAGCTCCCGCACCAAGCGCTGGAGGTTGATGAGCTCGTGCTGCATGCGCGAGTACCCCTCCATGACCTCATCGAACTTCAGGTCGTGACTGACGACCAGGTTCTCCATCTGCTTGATGCGGGACTGGTTGTTGTCGATCTCACCCACAGCATCCCGGAGCAGGGCGCCGAGGGTGGGCCTCCTTGCTAAGGGTTGACCCTGATGCCTGGACGGCAAGTCCTAGCAACCTGCGCATGGGATATGAGCGTGGCTGCATGATGACGAAAGGCGCGCGGGCTTTAACCCATTCGGTGTCGAAGTCTGGGCGATCTTGTCATCCAACTTACTGCATGATTTTGTCAAAGATGTCGTCGGCCATTGCCCGGTGATTGCCTGAAGAGTCGTACAGCACAGCCACTGACTTCTTGGCCAGGTCGTTTGGTGGATCTGGGAGTTTGAGCAGGCCCCGGTCCTTCACAACTACCAGACTGAAGTGGCGGACATGCGGAGGCTTGCATTCAAAGGGACCTAAGGATACTAAACTTCAGAATACCACGGCTCAGTGTCCCTAATACCATGGGGGTCTAACTCGAGGGGTATATTAGGTTTTGCTGCCCCAAATTCATCACTTACTGTGTTACCACAAGGACGAGCAAGTAGTCAAAATCAAGTACCCTGGCGTTGTCCGTGGAGCTGACCAGGGTGCGGCGCAGACAGCATGACGTGTATGCAGCGCTGTCCAGCGCGAGCCAGGTCCTTCCCCACTCGAGCGTTGGCTTCTTGATGCTCTGGAGATTGCAAAACATAATTGAAGCATGCGTATCAGCGAAGCGGGGTGCAGACGACGCCGACAGATGCATGCTCTACGCGATCCATCGGTACGCGTGCGAGGAATCCGGAAGTGCACTTACACGAGGTGGAAGTCGATAATGGTGATGCTGATTTCGCACTCATCCTGCATGTGCATTGCATCCAGAACAGTGACGGACGCTTGCTGGCAGTGCTGGTTAAAGAGCAGTTTCGTGGGGAAGTGTTGCAATTTAAGAACGGTTTGTCGTCCACGTTTCGTGGGCAAAAGGGGCTTCTAGCCTTTGGTGAAGTCGATGATGATGTCGGCCACCTCGCCCACCTTCTCCAGACATTCTGCGCGTGTGGTGACGGCGAACGGAGCTGACGGGCCGTCTCCCGCGATTGGAGCCTTCCCCGTTGACCTACTCTTCTTTACAGCCTTAGCCTCAGACCTATCCTCTGTCACTTCTTTGTCCTCCGATTCTATGTTCTCGGACTCGTCCAGCCCATAACAATCCTAGGACTTCATTGCCTGGAGGCGCCTACTCTTGCGGCTCATGGCGGATATGTCTAATTACTCAACGGGCTGGGTGGACAGGAGGTGAGTGTTGTAAAATATGCTGAACCTAGACTTGGAGCAAGGAGGTACCGTAGCTGGGATACTATGATGAACTGTTGCTGAACCCACAAAACCAACCCAAGGAAGCAGCGAGGGGTTCTGGAAAGGCCGTGACGGGCCTTCGACGTGCAAACTTGTGGGGTCGTGACCGTCCATGCACGAAACCGATAGGGCCCTTGGCAGGTCTGCGCGCCGAGTTGGGAGTCCACGAAATCGATTACTGTACAAGTCGGACAATTGCATACACGTGTCGCGCGGACCCTGAGTTCTCAGATCGTCCAGTAAAACACGTCGAGGGGCGCGAGTGACAAAAGCCACATGTGATGAGCCGTTGGGAAATCTGTCAATTGGGGCCAGGGTCTCAGATATCAGACGAAATCCGTCTGATGGTCTGAAAATCAGACCTGTTTTTTTGCTTTCATCTGATTTTTTGACGGGGTAAATTATTTCGTCTGATTGTCCATCTCAGTCATAAGATTTAGTCTGAAAGTTCAGACTTGGTGTACTTTTTCGTCTGAAATGTCAGATAGCGCGTATAATTTCGTCTGACAGCAATCGCCCATTATCCCACTGCGCCAATGGGTCACCTGCCCACTGGCCCACACTCTGTCATCTTGGTCCTGGTCAGTGGGCAGGTGCATTCATTTCCACGCGCACCACGACGGCCAGCGCATAGTCACGAAATGAAATCGGCAACAACCTGACTCAGGTTGCTGCAATCGCTCGTCCGATGGTGCGTCACTTGCACGGCTGCCAGCTTCCTTGCATTTTGAAGCTGGCAGCAATGTGCCAGCGCACAGTGGTGCGGCGAGGAAAGCCATCCACCGTGAGCCAGCAATGCAGAGCTGTTTCGTAGCCATGCAGCAACCTCGCTCACCATGCTGCAGCACAGCGATGCGCCTGGTCGTAAAGGCACCAAGGGAAAAGCCTCGTAGCCACTTGTCCTGCTCCACCTCGTTCTTCCAGCCCCCTCAGCATGGCTCCAATCTTGCTCTGCTCACACCCTGCCTAGACGCCCTCTAGCTCTGTGGCTAGGCAGCGATGGCGTCAGAGAGAGCGCAGTCGATCCCCTCCCCAGTTAGGCAGTCAGTAGTAGGCTTGGAGCCCCCTGGCTCAACCCCTCCGCTTGTTAGTGGTCTAGATCTCCTCACTGGCACGCTGAATCGAGCCGTCAGCGGCGATGCTCCGGTTGCAGCCGTGGGTGAGGCACCTCCGTCGCCTCTCCCACCGTTAGACGATGAGCCGTGGGTTTTCTTTGACAAAGAAAACTCTACATGTGATGTTCCAACGTCACCTAATCCGTCGTCAACACCTGGCTGCTCAACCGTGCGAGCCGTCTCCCCTTCACGCATGGCGCGCGGTCCTGTCCTACCAGTTCGCGCTCCTGGCAAGAAGTATCGACAGCACAAGCTTACGTTTGGCCGACCAGCGGTGGCTCAGTCTACACCCTCTGTCCAGGTGCAATCCCGGTCTTCCGAAGCATCTCCTACCGACTCCGATGACGACGATGGTCCCTTTCCCCTCACAGTCGCCGAGCTCCAGTTGAAAGCCAAGGAGCAGTGGCAGCGGTATTTCCCATGGCTGCTGATTTCCGAGACCTCTGAGGGGCGTCCATCCATGAAGTGTAGCATCTGTATGGGGTACAACAACGACCCCAACTACCAGTATTGGCGCAACGGCGAAGGCGGCATCGACATACAGAAGCAGACGATGCGCAAGCACCACCACAGTCAAAAGCATGAGGCGGCGATGGCACAGAAGGAGTAGAAGGATGGCAAGAATGCGAAGCAGAAGTCCATCGTCGGCTTCGAGAACGGGAACGATGAGGCAAAGCGACTGAAGCGACTCATGGCGATTGTGATGTTCCTCTGCAAATCTGACGCCCCCGTTGTGTTGTTTGTGTCACTTGTCCAGTTCATGGCAGAGCAGAGAACACCAGACCTACCCGTGAATGACAACGGTACCTACCAGAGCGAGTAAGTGTTTTACGTGATACCAACCCGATATACTGCTGATTTGTTACGTGCTTTCTAGAAGGCTGACACTGTACTATTTTGCATGCGCAGGTACGGTTTCAATCAGGTGGTCGACAACATCGTCACTTACCTGCGCACCAAGCAAATGACCCACATCAGGGCTTCACCATTCTTGGGCATCCAACTCGACGAGTCAACCGACCGCCGGCGGGGTCAACATATGATTGTTTACCTTACCTTCCTCCGCGACACGACGATGGTGACAGAGTTCTTCGGGCATCTCACCGTCGAGAAGTGCGACGCCGCATCTCTGCAGGCCGTTCTACTCACCCACCTCGAGTCTCAGGGCATCGAGCTCAACAAGATTTGCGGAACCAGCACCGATGGAGCCAGTGTGATGACGGGTGCACAAGCAGGTCTCGTGGCTAGGCTGCGCACCCGTATTCCACACCTGGTTTCCTGCCACTGCATCGCGCATAGGTGATTCTGACATTCCAGAAAATTGCATATTTTAAAATATTATTCCGAGACTAATAAAGTGTTTCTGTTAATCTGCAGGGAGGCTCTGGCTGCCAAGGACACTGCAGATGATTTCCCGGACTTAGGCATCGTCGACAAGGTCGTGCGGTCACTGGCCGATGTGCTCGGCCGGTCCATCGTCGTCCACAACCGTTTCAAGGAGCTGCAAGAAGTCGTCACTGAAACTAACCTCAAAATGCAAGGCATCCACCAGATACGTTGGCTTAGTCGCGGTGAGGCTATCCAGCGGCTTGTTGATGTGTTTCCCGCGGCATTCTCCTGCTGTACGAGTATGATAGGAAGATGTATCACGTAGTTATCTCGTTGAAGTTTCATTTCTTGCTGTACTTTCTGGTGGATGTGCTGCGGGAGCTGAACACGCTCAACCTCAAGTTCCAGCGTCGCCAGGTAAGCCAGTTGGTGTCATGTCGTCGGTTTTAGGGGAGTGATGATTAACGAGCAAAACCACCTCCCCTTTCTGTCTGTGTATGGCAGGTCGACGTCACCCAGGTTCTTCGGATGGTCGACAACACCGTCGTTACACTGCGCGCGCGCTTCGTCAATTATAGCACACAGTTCGGCCCACCTGACGGGGAATTCGCCGACTTTCTGCATCTGTACGCGGGGGGCGAGGACGTGACGATCGAGGGGATTGACGCACACGGGGCGCCGACTGTGCACACGTACACTCTACACACAAAGCCGCTGGATGGGCAGCGGAGCAACGGGGATCTGAAGTCGCTACAGCAGCTCGTCACGGACGTCGTCAACGGTGTCATCAACCACCTACAAGGACGTCTCAAGGATCTATCGAAGCTCAACGCCACAAGACTTTTCAAGCAGACGATGTACCCGAAGTTCACTGCGAGGCGCCAGCGGAAGTTTCTCGAATGGCTCCAGTCTCTGCGCGGCCTCTACAAGCGTGATGCGTCAGCGCCCGACACTCTGCCAGGTGAGTTCCATGGGGTTGTTAGTGTCTCCATGGCTCGGGTGTTTCTGGTTGTTGAGATCTTTAACGAAGGCTTCTGTGCCTCTTTCACCCCCCCTTCAGGTGTCCACTAGGGCAAGGCGAAGGCCGAGCTCGTCAGTTTCACCACCATCATGTCGACACACAATGACGAGCTGGGCTTCCATGATGCGCTGAAGAACGTGCTCTCCACGCCGGACTGGATGACTGCCTACCCCAATTTGGTTCTTATCTGGATTGCCTGCGCCGTGCTGCCGCTCAGCACAGTGGAGTGTGAGCGCGGGTTCAGCCGCCATAGTGTCATCAAAAGCTGGCAGCGGGGCAATCTCGGTGATGCGAAGCTAGGCCACTTGATGACGGTGTCGCTGCTCGACTACCCGATGGACTGGGGGAGTATAGGGCTAGCTGGCGTGGAACGAAGAAACGGCGACCTGCCAAGGAAGTTGTCATGGATCAGACCGCACGGCAGGTGAAGCGGCCCAAGACGTCGGCGGCATTCAAGGCGGCAAAGGCAGTAGCAGAAGCAGCCAGGCAGGCAGAAGCGCTAGCAGCAGTAGAAGCAGCCAGAGTATTTGAAGAGGATGGTGCGACTGGCCCAATCTGGAGGAGGAAAAGCAAGGGCAAGAAGGTCCAAGTATCACAGACCGACAGTGATGATGACATCGAGGAGGTCGGAAGTGATAGTTCAGACTCCGAGTAGGCAGATGGCGGTATGGCACAGCATGGTCTAGTATAAGGCTAATTCCTAATGTAGGTTGTAGTAGTGGAGCATCAGTAGCACTAGAGTTTTTTCCAGCTATTCTTAGCATATAGATGTAGTTTCAATCAATGGATGCTAACGACGTGTAACAGTTGTTTGTGTAGCAGTATAATGTAGCACATTCGGCATTGATATATACTGAAACTCCCACAACGTTTCGTATGAATTGTCATATCGTGCCAAATTTTTCTCCTGAAATGCCAGACCGGCAAAAAAAAAATCGTATTATGGTCAGACGAAAGTTTGAAACCCTGTCTGAATGTCAGACGGCCTAAAATCCTAGCTAAAACCCTGATTGGGGCGCGAATCGAGCTGTAAAATATCTCGACATGTGTGCTGTACGCTGCAGTGACACTGTGCGCACGTTCCCGATTTGCCAACTACACCAGAGGTCTAAAAGAAGCTTAAGTTGTTTTTGGCCGGTTACTCCAGTAACGGACGCCTTCAAATCGCTGGCAAATTGGGCCTGAAGGTAGGACCATGGTTACCCGTTTGGCAGGACCCATTGAACATGGAAGACATGCGTTGTTTCTCCCGTGTACCCCGGTAACTGTCGCATAATCGCACCCTGGTTCCGAGTCAACCTACAATTGTTCCTTCTGCATGTTCGCTCCCAGCAGTGTCGCAAGTCGTTGAGCCGCCCAAAATTGGGCCAGTCCATGACGGGCCGTTGCCTGCATATCCGTGGCAGTCGGACTGACGAGTGCATGGGGGCCTCTGACGAATGGGCGGTTCACTGGACGTCATGTGTACACGGCTCATGGTGGTCGGGCCATCCACTTGCGTAATGAACAATAACCCATCCCTGCTCGTCCCACTCGGCCGAAATTTTACAAAATTGTTACACTCACGTGTACATAACATTGGCGCGGCTGTCCAATTAAGGCAAATGGGGTTACCACTGCAGCGCGGCGTGACGGGGTGGCGCAATTTAGCCAAGTCAATGATTGGGCGGAGCGCGCGTTTTTCTCACTGTCTTTCGAACGTGCTGGTCGTGTTTTCGGTTCTTGCGTTCGTTTTGGCAAGAGTTACTTTTCGAGGTGTCTTGATCGATGCGGTACATTATGGCGGTGTAGATTGGCTACATGTCTGGTTACCACATCACCTAAAACGTTCAAAACTTGAACTTGCCTTGGTACGAAATGTACCGGGCCATAAGAGCTGGAAACGTGACACATCCACCCTTTATAAGGGGCGTGGTAGATTTCTCAGGTTTTCGGATTCGTGACTTGCATTATTCAAACCTTAGGGCTGCTCTGTAATGGCGAAAAATCTTGACGAACTCAACGAGAACAGTAACCTGCAAAAATCCGGTCAAGTCAAATAAAAACTACCAGGACCTCAGGGGGCGTGATACAGCTTATCAAACAGAACTCAACTGCAAGTTAGTGAACTCTTATGACACCCTCTTGTTCCTGTTTCTTGCCTGAACACGCAAGCCCGCCCGCCCGTCGCCTTTCCAGGTTTTCTTCAACCAACCCCTAGGTGGTAAGGGGGGGAAGCAACCACCTGAATCTGGAGCACATGCGGCTCGAGAATGCCTGGTGGTGCAGTACAGTAAGCCCCTGCGCTTGGTCTCCCTAAGATTCAGCGATTCCAGGATTTCACAGCCAACAATGAGGGGGGCAGACAAACAAAACAGCCGTACAAAAGGCACAATTCTGCTGCGGCAGCTCAGCAGTTCTAGGCCCCAGGCAAGCGCATATATTTTCAGTCCAGTTCGCTAGTCAGAGCAGTTTACCGTTGGCCTCCCCGCATCACCTCGCATCACCTCACGTGCTAGTCAGAGCTATTCTACATATCCATTGGAGTTCCTCGCATCACCTCACACATCCCATCTCGTCACAATGGCCAGAGCCGCGCTTCTCGCGCTCTCCCTCGCTCTCCTGGTCGTCTTCGGCAGCGCAGGCAGCCCCATCACCAGCAGCACCGCGAATGAGAAGCCCGACCTGAGCAGCAAGAAGGACGATGGGCTCATGACCGACATCCCCAAGGACATCGCGAAGCTGGCTGCGACGGGCGACGCGGCCGGTGTGACATACGTTGATACGGCGCAGGATACTTTCTTCATGGCTGACGTCAAGAAAGCTGGCTGGAACGCGCAGAAGTGCCCCCCCGGCCTGAACAAGGAACTTGCAGGTGCGTGCACCCCTAAGAACTGCTCCAAGGGTGGCATCGCTGCCAAGTGGAAAACCGCGTATCTCCAAAAGAACAAGCTCGGTTACGAGCTCTACGTGCCGGGTAACCCGCTGACTCTGCTCAAGGCGAACCCCGCGTCTTGCTGCAACACCTGCGCCGCGACGCCGCTCTGCACGTACTGGCAGTACATCCCCGATATCACCATCGACGGCAAGAAGGGCAAGGGCGCGTGCTACCTCATCCACGACCAAATCGACTTCACCCATCCCAAAATTCCAGGATCAGAAATACGGAGTAGGTATACAGTAGGTATGGCATAGGTACGTCTGCTACGGAGTAGCCTTGCTATACGAACAACTATACCTACAATATAGGAGAGGTCCACATTTTTGTGATGCCTGCGGAGAGATGACCGCGCAGTACAGTACCGAGACGAAGCCCGTGCCGCTGCAGGTGCGCATCGGCGGAGAGTGCAACCCCGCGGCGAAGATTCTCAATGACCCTCATCTGGTGGGCGCGCACGGCACGCACTTCGACTTCAACGGCCGCCCCGACAAGGCCTTCTGCCTGCTCACGGACCGTAACCTGCACGTGAACATGCTGCTCAGGGGATACTATGACGAGAGCACCGATAACGCCGCGGTCGTCGTCGACGGCAAGGCCGTGCACACCTGGATCAAGTAAGTGCGCGTTAATCTGTGTTGTAGTATATCCTGTGACTGCTCCTTTGCTACCCCCCGTCTGTTTATTGTTCCTATCATCGCGCCACGGTTGCTACTAGTCTCTAATCCACGGTCTCTTCTTTCCTGCTCTTCTCCGTCTGTCTTTCAGGGAGCTCGGCCTTATCTGGACCGCCAAGGGCGTGGACCACAAGGTCCACCTGGCCGCGCGCAGCGGCAAGCAGCAGGAGCGCGGCGACGGGTTCATGAAGATCATCGAGATCGACGGCGAGGAGATCCCGCGCATGCAGGTCGGCGACTCGGTCACGAGCGACGGCGGCCTGACCATCCAGTTCCGCGGGCTCGAGAAGGAGGGACCGTACGATGTGGACTATTATCTCCTCTCCATCGACGGGCTTATCTCCCTGGACCTGCGTCTCCGCGTGGCTAACCCCAAGCTGCAGACCCCGACCGAAGCCGAGGCGCACATCAATGTCGGGATTGCCGAGCTGGAGCACACGGATGAGATCCACGGAGTTCTGGGACAGACCTACCGGGAGGACCACGCCGCGCGCGCGGTCGATTTCCAACACCTGGTTGCGACCCTGCACCACCCCGTGTCCGCTGATGGTGCCGAGGGTGCTGGGTTTCTTGACGGGACCCCCAGGTCCTACGAGGCCAGTGACGTGCTTGCTGTGGACTGCGCGTATACCGCGTATGCCCGCGCCAGGCAGGTGATGCCCGTGCAGCAGATGCCATAGAGCGCTGCGTAGTGAAGATGTTTTACTCATGGCTGCTTTAGAGCAGCATCTGTTGTATTTCATACTTTACCATTAGGTTGCTCACGCTAAACCAGACGATGGTTGATTGATTGCGGTTTATTGTTCCCATCTCTTACAGCGGAACGGATCATAGCTAACCGAGGATAGGTAGCTTCAAACTGCCTTATGAAAGAGCATGTTCTCTCTGCAAACACAGTACTTTACCGCACTGGCAAAGGCGTGTGAGTGGTTCGGGCAAACGTGCATTTTATCTTCTCTACGGGAAATTTCGGGCCTTGTGTCACATCAGCCTTTTCCCTCAGGGAGGGTCTAAATAGTTCACGCCCGATTCATTTCGTGAAAAGTAACCCGACTTTAACAAGTAACACCTTGTTTAAGGTTTTGCCAGGACTCGACTGAAATATTGGCGTAACCTGGGACACCCTTCACATCCGTCGGGCCTGTACCAGATTTCGGATTGGTAAACGTAAAAAGGCCGGAAAGTGTAAGATTCGGGGACGGGGTTCCAAGTGTGTCGCGCCTGGATATCGCCCGCGCGATGTCGCGAATACATCTGCCCGTGAGACGCCATACTACATCCACAACCGAACGCTCCGCTAGTTGGACCACTCTGCGCCAACAGAATGAGGCGAGCTCGACTTCTTCAGGTTTGGGGCAAGTACCTAAGCGAGGAAATATTCCCCCGCTTGTTGATTGGCCCCCCTGGCTCGTCGCTGGTGATGTTTGCAAAGGCGGGATGGGCTTCCCCGCCTGTTGTCTTTTGCGCGGTGTGCGAAACATATGTTTCGCGCAGGCATACATTTGGTAACTGCGTTTTGGGCCATTGCGCGCCGCTCGGTTTTTTCACATCTCGACAATTGGCGTCCCGCTTGTGCGCCACGTGCGAATGGGGACACAATTTCGGGAAATTGCAAATTCGGAATCGTTTCAGGGATTTGTACCGGGGTTCGTAAAATCGTGTCCCGAACCCCAAAATGAACTATTTAGGCCCGCCCTCATTGTAGCCATGGAAACTGTTGGCACTAGAGCCTGACACGAGCCCCGGAATCTACCCAGGGACGAAAAGGTTCCAGTCAAGCCAAGCTGATTTCCATCCCCTTGTCAGGGTACCTTGACACCAGGTCAGTGACATCTAAAAGGTGTCAACATCAGCACGACTGCTAGCGTGTGAAAATCGTAGCTGTTGAGAAGGTGACATGCACTGAGCTGACACGGCATTGGAATAACCCCTAGTTCCTTCTAAGTACGCCCTGATCCCGAAGCCTGGAGATCCCGCCAAAAAGAGTCAGTCGGTGCCCTTCAATGTTTCGAGGTGCTGGAGGAGGGAAAGCTTGGTGTGGAAGTACGGGCAGCGATATATCATGTCAAATATTATTTCCGTGGCAAGAAGGGCCTACACGTCTGCAGTACGATTGTGAGCTGTCCCAAAGCGCCCAATGAACTGCCCCCTAGCTGACATTCGGGCATGCTGACGCGGGTCAGCCCGAAAAAATCAAGGAATTTTGCTTCTGCTGCGCCTGGTTGTCTTCATACAAGCCCCCACATCCAACTCTGACCGAGTGTCGAAATCGCGACTTATTGTGCGAATGACAGCAAGGCTTTGAAATAGTGTTGTTTCCCTTTTCCGCCGACGCAGAGCTCTAGGTGCATCCAGCCATTGACGCTCACCGCTCGTTATCAAACAGAGTCGACTCTCCCACACCACTCTGTCTCTTGGAAGTCGCGATCTACTCCATTCCCACCATCTGCTCTTGTCCCACAGATTGTGCGACGATCCCAGGGCAGCCCCTGGTGTCTTCCGGTGCGTTCATCCCCCCTCCTACCCCGCTGTTAGGCTCGTTCCAAGATCGTTGCTTCTCGCCTCCGTACATGCTTGCAGCTACCAGATTGCCGTGTGCTCTGTTCCCGCCGTTCATCCGAAACTTGAGGATCCGCCGGTGTGCATATTCCTGAGCCTCCCGTTTCTGTGGATTCTCATTCCCCTCAGACTCAGACGAAACCATGGCTCCCGAAGGATCGCTCGGTGGATCTGTAGGTCAAGATGCCGTCGTCTCGCGACGCGGCGTCGCTGGCACAGACGGAAACGGGGAAGTCTCTAAAAAGGACGCGCCGCCATTCGAGAACACGGATTTCACCGCGACACGTCAAGAGTACCTCTTCAAGCCGCCGGGCTGGATTGACACGTGGCTCGTGGGGCAGCTAAACCACCCCAAGGACGCGCCGCTGGCGTACTTAACCCTCAACATTCTCTGCATGAGCGTGCCGGCCGCTCTGGCGGTGGTGTGGATAACGACGCCCGGGCTTGGCGAGGTGGGCGGGTGGAAGGGTAACCTGATCGGAGCGACGTACATGGTGCTTAACTACGTGATCTTCATGCAGCGCTACATGCTCGGCCTGCACTTCTCCGAGCACCTCCTGGTACGACGGCGCGCGCTGCGCTTTTTTGCTTTCATTGTTTTGGGGCCTGAGGTGGTTGCGTGGTGGCTGTGGCCCACGTTGTGTTCCCTGCTACAACGGTGCTCTGCAGCTTCATGGATCTGAAATGGTGGGCTGGTGCTATGGTGTGCTTTTGACGCTTTTTTCTGCGAGGATCTGAGATGGAGCACTAGATCTGAGCTTCGAACAGAGTGGATCTGGAAGGAGCATATCGGATAGGACTGAACGAATCAGTTCAGGAAAACCAGGGAAGAACTTCCAGCAGAAAGTTTTTTCAGCAGGTAGCATTCGTTCCGGGGGTCGTTTTTCCATAGAAAATAACACAAAGAGAACGGAATCTGACCTGCGACATGCAAGAACACGTGAGGAGTTTTTTTACCGTCCCTGGCTGCACTTTCCGTCTCCCGTTGGACCGTCCCTCGTGTCTTTCAAGATAAGTCTGCATCCGAACCTTTCTGGCTGAAAAATACCACCTTGCAGCACCCCGCGCTCTCCCTCCCCCCCTCCCCCTCCCTCGTCCTCTCACGCTTTCTGTTCCACTGCCATACCTCTCCTCCTTTTGAGTCTCCTTCTTCACCTTCTTTCACCCCTTCTGCCTTACCACCTCTGGTCCCACCCCCCCCCCCCCCCCCTTCTTCCCTCCTCTTCTCCTTCCTCCCCCCTCCTCCCCCGCCCTCTTCCCCCCTCCCCCCGCCGCTGCACACCGCAGATCTACAAGAAGACCTTCGCGGGGCGGTGCCTGCAGAACGTGCTGCCCACGTTCGTGTCGGTACTGTTCGGCATCGCACCGGGCTTCTACCGCCTGCACCACTGTATCATGCACCACGTCGTGAGTACCCGCGGTGACTCCTGAGTCTATTATCGATGTAAAATCCGCGTGTAATGAATCTGCTTTTGAGCCGACTCATAACGCGCCGGGCTCCTACCGCCTGCACCACTGTATGGTGCACCACGTCTTGAGCCCCTTAGATCCCTGCACCCCTGCTGCCGGGCTCCTGGACGCACGTGGCTCCTGCACGCCCCGCTCAACCACGGACTCGCTGTTTCTCGTTTACCGCCGCTCATCTACTGCCTCGTGCCCGTTCCCGGTCCCCTCCCATAGGCCCTAGCGCCTCGTGCCATCCCTTCCTCTCACCCCTTCCCCACTCTTCCCCCCCACCCACTCCCTCCTCCCCCATCCCCTCCACCCCCTCAACCCCTCCGTATCGCCCGCGCTTGCCGGTGTGCCGCCGTGTGCTGTCCCGCGCTGTGCTGTGCTGCGCGTGCGAGCAGGAGAACAACCTGTACCCGAACGACCTCTCGTCCACGGAGCCCTACCAGCGCGACAACTTCCTGCACTTCGTCGTGTAAGCGCCCCCGCTTCCTCCTCTCCCCTCCTGGGCACTCGCGCGCTGGCAGTCGTCGATCCATGTTGCCCTCGTGTCGACGCTCGCCCTTGTCAAAATTCAACAACCCCGCCCCCCCTTCCCCTCCCCCCCTTCCCCTCCTCCCCCGGGCCCCCCCTCCTCTCTCCTTTCTCTTCTTTACCCCCTCGCCCCCTCTTGTGTTGCTTTTGCTTCTCTCTCTCCCCTCCCCCCTTCTCCCTCCCCCTTCCCCCGACCCTTCCCCCGCCAACCCCCACTCCCACCCCCCTCCCGCGCGCTCCCTCTCGTCCCGCGCGGGCCTAAGCTACTGGGTGCAGTACTGCTGCCGCCGTTCGAGATGCCGCTCATCTAACCGTCCGAATCTCTGATCCTTCTCTTACGCTCCCCCTCCTCCCCCACTTTCCCCCCACCCCCGCCCCCGCCCACCCGGCCTCTCTTGCTCTCCCCCCTTTCCCGCGCGCGCCGCAGGTACTGGGTGCGGTACTGGCTGCTGTCGCCGTTCGAGATGCCGCTGTACGCGTTCCGCACGCGGCGCTACGGCATCTTCGCCAAGAGCTGCTTCTTCCTCTCCGTCTACGCCTCCTCGCTCTCGCTGCACGTCGTCGCGCCGATCGCCGTGCGATGGGTGAGTCGCGGGGGGGGGAGGGGGAGGAGGGAAGAGGGGGGAAAGGGGGAGAAGGTCGGGAAGGTCGGGAAGGGGAGGGGGTTTGGTTTTGTAGTGGGGTTGCCGCGCCGTCTACGCCTCCCCGCTCTCGCCGCACGCCGTCGCGCCCATCTCCGTGCGATGGGTGAGTCGCGCACGCGGGAGGGGTGGGGTTGAGGGCACCGGGCGCGGCAAGGGGGCTAGCGGTGGGCGGTGAGAAGGGTGTGAAAGGGTGTGGAAAGGTGTAGAGGGGTGGTGAGAGCAGCAAGGGCTGGAGAGCTCTGATGAGAAGGGAAGCGGATCTGCTGAGGAATGAGTGGCGAGAGAGAGTGCCGTGAGAGGTGCGGGAGTGTTTCCGCGGCATGACGGCGCTAGATACACTCGACAGAGCTGCCGGCACGCTGCTAGTATCCCCGACACCGCTCGCTTCCCCTTCTCGTTCAAGATTTCGAGCCGTGCCTGCGTTACACTCCCGTCTCACCATCCAATCCTCTCATCTCGCTCCTCGCCTCTCGCCCCTCTCTCCCCCCGGCCATCCCGTGCCTGTCTGCCCCCCGCACCCCCCCCTGTGTGCGCACCCCCCCCTGTGTGCGCACCCCCCCCTGTGTGCGCACCCCCCCCTGTGTGCGCACCCCCGCCAGATCCTGCTCATTCCCTTCTGCCTGACGTCGTTCCTCATCATGTTCGGCAACTTCAGCCAGCACATGTTCATCGACCCCAGGAATTCGCGCAGCAACTACGCCCTCACGTACGCCCGTCAAACCACCCTCCCTTCCCTCCGTCCCCCCCCTCTGCTATGTGCGCCGTCGTCCTCCCTCCCTGGTTGCCATCCCTCCTGTGATTCATGTGCCTCTGGATCCCCTTCCGCTCGCCGCCCTGTCCCATAGCCCTCCCCCTTGCCCCCCCCTTCCCTACTGTTGCATCCCTGCTGTCCATCCTTCCGCCTCTGGTTGCCATCTTCCTGCTACAGGTTGCTTATCTGGTGCGTTCCTCGCTCTGCTGCGTCCCCATGCCCGCAGGTACGGCTGCATGTGCTTATCCTCCCTCTCTCTCTATTTTTCCTTGCCGTGCGCATGTCCGGGCAATGCGCAGGTACAACTGCATGAACGCACCTGACAACCAGAAGACGTTCAACGACGGCTACCACATCCTCCACCACGCCAACTCGCAGATCCACTGGTACGCACCTGCCTGATCCATGCCGCCATGCCCTGCCCTGCCCTGCCCTGCCCTGCCATGCCATGCCTGCTTCTCATGGCCTTAGACCCCTGCTGTCGAGCCCGGTTCCTCTCTCCCTTGCACCTTCTGACCATGCTTCATCTATCCCCCCTTGAACTTGCCTTCCTTAGGAGACCGCCTTGGTCTTCCTGTCACCCTTTCCTCCCTTGCTGCGTCCGCCTGCTACCCCCTGCTCCTCTTTGCTATCCCTACGCACGCCTGTCCCGCCTTCACCCCCAACCAACCTCACCTCATCTCAGCCCATCCCCCCCCCCCCTTTTCTTGGCTTGCGCCAGGCTGGACCTGCCGCACCGCTTCATGGAGACGCTGGACGTGCACGCGAGGGAGGACGCCATTGTGTTCCGCCACCTGCACTTCATGGACGTCGGCATGCTCGTCTTCACCGGCCAGCTCAAGAAGCTCGCCACCTAGTGAGCTCTCTCCCTCCCCCCTGGGCCCCCCCTGTCCCCCACACCACCCTCTTCCCCCCCACACCACCCCTCCCCACCACCTGCACTTGATCCATGTGGGCATGCCCGTCGTCACCGGCCAGCTCAAGCAGCTTGCCACTCTGTATGCACACTCCCTGACCCCAGTTCTCTCTTGCCTCCTCTCCCCTCGCCTCCACTCACTTCCCTTCCCCGCTGTTGCCTCCGGACCCCTCTTTTCCCTTACCCGCCCCCATTTCTCTTCCCCCCACACCGCTCTGACTGTCCTCTCTCTCCTCCCCCCCTCCATTTCTCTCTGTCTTCAGCTATGCGAACATCGGGCAGCCGCAGAGGTCGCAGGAGGAGCTGGTCGCAATGTGCAAGGAACGCCTGTGGCTCTTAACTCAGCGACGTGAACTCTTTCTTCCTCATCTTCCCCCCTCCTCCCCTTCTTCCCTCTCTCCTCAGCTATGTGAACATTGGGCAGCCGCAGCGGTCGCAGGAGGAGCTGGTAGCAATGTTCAAGGAGCGCCTCAAGCCCATCAGGGCAGGCAATGCCGGCAAGGGCAAGGCACAGTGAGGGGGGAGGGGATGGGTTAATGAAGTGGAGTGAGGTGGTCCAAGGACGTGTAGTGAGGGGCGAAGGTTGCTGATTTTTGGGGAAGAGGCTGGAGTGTGGCCGTGGGGGGTGATTTGGTCTTGGGGGGTGCTTGGTTGACTTGCATGGGGCATTATATATACTAGCAGTACACCAGGGAGCCATGCCAGTTTGTGAGATAGTTTCTGACTGGTTTTAGCCCTTGGCAGTACGTATCACAGCAGCTTGCACTGAAGCAGCTCATACTGGTAGGCTGATTTTTGCAGTGCTATCTATTTCTTAAGCTTGCTATAGATAATCGGTGTGAAGTGTAGTGGACTGTAATGAAGAGGCCTCAAGAAGTTGTATTCGTCAGGGAAGAAACAGGAGGACAACTACATGAATGACGAAGCATGTTTACTAGCACTTCGAATATATATGCATATATGCACTGCACACTAATACGCCTCCTTCCCTTCCCAGCTTCATCCTACCATATCTGGTTAGTGCCCCAATACAAAGTTGGGGGTAGGTACGCATACATTAACTTTTCTGAAACATGCAGTACAGGCAAGAGAAATCCACCCCCTCGCCTGCCTGGCAACTTGCTAAATAACCGCACATATGAAATGTAATTCATTGGACAGCAAGCAGCCTGATAATTTGTTCCCCGCCGCAGGCTCACATGCGATTGAATTGACTGACAATCTGCCCCACTGATACCGTTCATCATCCCCCCCCATGGGCTGACATGCAAGAATGCTGCCAGACACCAAATAGAACTCCCTTCAACGCAAATGCCCCGAGCTTCTTTCTGTCCTGATTCTCCCCGCCTCTGCTCGCAGCGTGCGCAGTGCAGCAGCGCCCTGGAGGCGCTGCAAGGCAAGGCGCTGCAAGGTGGGAGGACTCGTGGTCGCTGAAGGAGGCGTCGGCCAGGAAGAGGCTGTGGATGCTGCATGCTGGTGCTGCCAGGACAGGCAGTGCAGCACCAATAACGCTGCAACGAAGCTGCAACGAGGCTGCAATAAAGCTGCCACCAAACCGAATACCCTCAGCGCTTCACTCCCTCTTGATTCTCCCCACCTCTGCCCGCAGCGTGCGCAGCAGCACCTTGGGTTCGCGCAGCCACAAGCGCTGCGAGGCGAGGCTGAGCGGGTGCGAGGACTCGTGCACGCTGAAGGAGGCGTCTGCCAGGAAGACGTGGTAGTGCAGGTGGCACGCGTCGGCTAACAGGTGGAAGGATGGGTCGGGCTCGCTTGCCACGCGGAGCTCCACCACTGTGGCACCTGGGGGGGGAGGGATCGGGCAGAGGAGAGAAGGGGGGGAAGGAGGAGGGGGCAGGTAGGAGGTTTGTTGCAGGGAGTGGAGGGAATGGTGAGAAGCGATCGGAGAGAGTAGGGAGGAGATGGTGGGGGGGGGGTGGCTGTGTTGGTGTGAGGACTCGTGGGCGCTGAAGGAGGCGTCGGCTAACAGGTGGAAGGACGGGTCGGGCTCGCTTGACACACAGAGCTCCACCACTGTGGCGCCTGGAGGGGGGGGGGATGTGGAGGAAGGAAGTGGGGGGAGGCTGGGCTAGCGGGGGGGTCTTGAGGGCACGTGCAGGTCAACCACGTTGCAGGTGGAGGGAGGAAGGCAGGGTTGGGGAGGTTGGAAGGAACGGAGGGCGAGGAGGGCAGGTTGCAGGTTGGATACAGGGAGAGGAAGGAGGGAGTGGAGATGAGCACGGAGAAAGAAAGCGAATCCCGGAGCAAAAGAGCAACCCCAGAATACCATATCAGGCAGCATGGAGCCATGACGCCCCACCAGCAAGCAGCAACCAGCAAGCAGCAACCAGCAAGCAGCAACCAGCGACCAGCAGCAAGCAAGCCACACAGAAACAGCACAGACAGAGATGACAGCCAAGGTACAGTACGCAACACAGCAACACAGCAACACAGCAACACGGCAACACAGCAACACGGCAACACGGCAACACAGCAACACAGCAACACACAGCAGGACCAGGAGGCGCCTTATCCGGCAGAACGGAGCCATGTGCCGCCTCCATCAACTGGGCCACACAGAAACAGCGCAGACAGAGACGGCAGCCAACGCACAGAAAGGCACACAACAACACAGCAGGACCAGCAGACGCCTTCCAGGCTTCCTCACCCGGGGGCATGAAGACCATATCAGGCAGGACGGAGCCATGCGCCGCCACCAGCAGCCGGGCTCTACCGAACAAAGCCTTGCGCTGCCCAACTGTCAAGCTGCCAGCCCGGTACTCCACCACCCGCCCCCGCCCCGCCCACTGCTGCAGGCGCTGCAGCAAGCCCAGCGAGTGAACCAGCGGGCGGGGGGGAGGGTTGGGAGTGTGGGGCGTGCTGGCATGAGGTGTCTCGAGAGGAGGGAACTGTGAAGGGTCGTGACTTGCGTTTTGCTGATCATCCCGTGCGTTGGCAGGTGTTTCCCATGGGGCATACATGGCGTCTGGTGCCTCTACAGGCGTGTCCCATGGAGCGTCCACCCCAAGAACCACCACCCAGTCAGAGCCGGGGGAGAAGTCCTCAGAGTGCGTGGGAGGGATGGAGGGGAAGGAGGGATCTGGAGTATGGAGAGAACAAGGGAGAGGAAGAGGAGAGGAAGAGGAGAGGAGAGGAGAGGAGAGGAGAGGATGAGAGTGAAGGCAAGCAAAGAAATGCAGGAAGAGGGAGAATTAGCAACAAAAAGGAAGCAACGAAGCATCGCATGCGATGGATTCGAACACACTGCCGAGCAAGGCGTGTGGTAAGGCACGTGAGGCGCATCTCAGCGCCATCCATGATCCATCACACACACACACATCACCAGTGGCACCCTACCCTGCTCGAAGGACTGTGCAAGAACTGTGCAGCCTGCACCTGCACTCCATGCACCCACCACAGGTGCAACAGGCTGGAGCATGGGAGGGCGTGAATGTCTAGATGCCCTCCCAAGCTCCTGCACCTTGCTGCATGGGAGGGCGTGGGCGCCTAGACAGCAGGCCAAGAGCGAGGTGCATCATGCATGCACGTGCGGGTTTCTGAGGGTTTCAAGGCCCGGGTGTATTTTGAGTCGACTCAAAATACATACTCAAGGCCCTCAGAAGACGGACCCTGAATTGGCGTGTTTTGAGTCGACTCAAAGCACGACAGGGAGGGGAGCGCACCTGCCGGCAGCAGGGGAGGTGCCTGCTTTGGCAGCAGTTAGACTGGGCCTATTTATGAGGCGCTCAAAAATAGAGCGGGAGGAGCACGCACCTGCAGGAAGAACGGCGGGCGGGTGATTTGGCAGCAGGTGGAGCGAGTGGGGAGAGTTGTGGTAGTAGGAGAAAGCACGCACCTGCAGGGAGAAGGGGAGGCGTGTGCTTGCGCAGCAGGTGGAGCGAGCGGAGGCGGTCCCACAGAGTCCTGCTGGGACGCCCACAGCGCTGGTGCAGGGGCTGGTGGGCAG